CACCCTCTCATGTACCAGAGAGGGTGAGTAACTTCCCAAGCACACACAGTGGATTGGTAGGACTAAAACCCATGCTTTTTAACTCATAGACCTAAAAGAAATGAAGAGAAACCCACTCTCTGAGGTAGATTTCAGACCTATTTCAAAAAGGAGAATAAAAAAGCCCCAGTGGACTGAATTGAAGGAAAGATCTGTAGAACCATGAATCATGGTCCAACCCTTCATGTTACAAATAAACTGCTGGACCGTGGTCCTGCTCCCCTCAGTGAACTCTGGCACCCTCTCAGGACACACCAGGGCATTCAGCACCCTCCCCTAGCAAGTTCTAAATGGATTGCCCACGGTTCTCTGCTCCTCTGGCTTTTACTCTAGGTGCAACATCAGTTACTTAGAAGAATGGCTTAAAGATAAGAATTTGCAGAACAGCTTGGCCAAGGAAACTTTGGAGCCTCTCTCTCAGGCAGCCTGGTTGCTTCAGGTGAAGAAGACCACAGACAGCGATGCCAAGGAGATCTACGAGCGCTGTACCTCACTGTCAGCTGTGCAGGTAATCAGGCTTGCTGACTGACCGCCTGATCTTCACCGACGGGTCTTACAACGGGTGTCCCCTTCCCTGATCTAGCCAGCCATGGGGTGCACCTGAGTCTTTGTGCGCTTTTTGGGGGGACATAGTGCCCCCTTATCTAATAAGCATTTACTAAATACCAACTCCTTGCCTTGAACGCACAAAAGTGTGTATGACACATTCCCTTGTCACTAAACTTACAGATGTGCGGTGTGGGGGGTGGAGGCTGAAAGTGGAACTGTCTTACTGTCATCTGATATGGGATTTGTCTTTGCTCCCTTCTATGCGTTTTCTTTTCTTGGAAAGAAATAACACATGGTTCCCAGAGCCAAATTACAGCATAAAAACGCTACCTGTGGTTCCCAGCTGTTCCAAAACCACCAGAACCTTGTTTCAGGGACAGAGCTGTCTTTTTTCACGACCTAACACCATCTTCTGTGTGGTTTGCAGATCATAAAGATCCTTAACTCATACACACCTATAGATGACTTCGAGAAAAGAGTGACTCCGTCCTTTGTTCGCAAAGTACAGGTGAGATCCTTAAGAATGTGCCTTTTAATTGTTAGTATAAGAAAGTGGTATTTTATTAGCGTTACAGAAAGCTGGGATTAAAGTACATTCCCTAAATGTACACCCAAAAGGCACTCAGAGAAAGCAGCAGGAGTTTTCTCTGTCAGATCCCCCAGTTTCCAGAAACCACGCTAGCCCCGTGGGGAGGGAAGGCAAACACCAGGCGGGACTCTGTGATCCTTCGGCAGGTCCTGTTTCTCGTCCGTCTTTGAGTGCTGTGCTGGGGAGCGGGGGCCGGACAGAAACAGAGACCTGCATACCCATTTTCCTTATTTTAGTCCCAAAAGTTTCTTACCCCATGAATTAGGGCAGCAGTTCTCAGAGTTTGGGTTGAGGACCCCTGGGCGTCCTTGACACCTTTTTTGGGAGGTCTGCAAAGTCTTCCTTTTTCCAATTGCATATCTGTATGAGGCCAACTTTTTTCTTACACTTCAGCCACAATTATGCATTGCAATAGGTTGAATGTAGAAGGAGATCCAAGATCCCACCCATCATATTATGTCAGACAGTAAAAAGATATATAAAAATATAAGAGAGTACCACTTCTCACTAATCTTTTTAGTTTTCAAAATGTAGTTATTTTCCAATAAAAATATATGAATATGTGTTGGGTTTGTTCTTGTTATTTTAATGAACAAATACACTTTAAGTTATTGCTTTAATTACTAATATGGTAAATATCAATAGTTAGACCTATATACACAAAGGCTCTTGGAGTCCTTAATAATTTGTAAGAGTGTAAAGAGGTCCTAAGACCAAAAAAGTTTGCAAAACACTGAGTAGAAAGAAAGATGAGTGTGATAAAGATTTAACACTTGAGATCTACTCGTAGTTGGGCTTAGAATTATGCTGTGAGGATAGATAAGAGGAGAAAACTGACCGATGTAGTCAGTCCCTCCTACAGGAAGTTCGATTCTGGGGAGAAGCAAAGCAAAGCGACATTCATGAGAGCTGATCCGGAGGTGCCGGGCAGACCTTTCCACTTTGGAGCTGCCCTCGGAAAAAGCCCTTTGGGTTATCCGTATCATGGGATACTGATGGGAAAGGAGTATTTCACTAGAGATAGAGTCATGGTGTCTTCCCTCCTCCTGACTCCCAGACAGCAAGCAACAAAGCAGAATGCGCACACTTCCTCGCTCACGGTCCCCCGGTTCTCGTTTCAGGCTCTCCTGAACAGCCGAGAGGACTCCTCACAGCTGATGCTGGACACCAGATATCTCTTCCAAGTCATGTTCCCTTTCACGCCCTCCCCCCACGCTCTGGAAATGATCGAGATCCCCAGCAGTTTCAAGCTAGGCTTTCTCCATAGATTATAGCGAGGAAAAGAGAGTAAATGCACTTTTCCCCCAAAAGCTAAATGAAGGTCAGATATGAGGGATGTGGTTTATTAATTGGAACTGGATAATGCTCTACTATGATTTAAGGATGAAAATAAGAATTCTCCGAAATGGGTCACATTTCTCTCACTCACAGTGATGGCACTGCCACTGGTACATTTTGTAAAAATTAACATACACGAGCTGTGGCCTTGTCCAGCTTGGGCATCTCAGCTGGCTTTTATTAGAATTCTGGAAGGCTCACATTTTCTTCCAGGTGTCTCTTGGTCGAGATCTATCTTGTGACAGGGCTTCACTCAGAGGGGCATAAGATCCAGGGACACAGCATCTCCCAAATTTGCTGAGGCTCATGTGAAGCCTGGGCACATTTATGACGCCGCAGTGGAGTCCAGGGCTGAGCCTTCCAGACAGTAATTCTTTCTGGCCTCAGAGTCCTGTCCCAAATCCCTCACCCACGCCTGCTGGGGGTGGGGGGAGGAGTCAGGTGTGGTTCACTGACTCTTTACCGAAAATGCTCCCGAATAAAAAATATTTATTATTTCAGACCCTTTTAATTTTAAAAAAGATTTTATTTATTTATTTGTAGAGAGGAGAAAGGAAAGAGAAAGAGAGGGAGAGAAACATCAATGTGTGGTTGCCTCTCCCAGGCCCCTCACTGGGGACCTGGCCCACAACCCAGGCATGTGCCCTGACTGGGAACCAAACCAGCAGTCCTTTGGTTCACAGGCCTATGCTCAACCCACTGAGCTACATGAGCCAGGGCTCATTTTTAAAGGAATACTCAATCTGAAGTGAATCATACGAAGTATTTTATGTATATATCTATTTAAAACCAACATGTTATCTAAGCTTAATTGCCACACTACTTACCATCTCCCCCAAAAGAACCTTTAAATTTCGTCTGCCAATATATTTGCCATCATTTTTCATTGTTTAATATCTGTCATACAATAACTTTTAAAAACTAAGTTTAGAAAGACAATGTAAAATATAGATTTAATTTAGAAAAGCACTTAATGATTTTCTCTGTCTTACCAGCATTCAAATATTTTCTAACATTTCCTTATACAAATAAGAATTACATCCCTTTCTTCCTTTTGAGTAGTCTGTGCTTCCCAAGTTTTATGGGAACTGACTATTCCTTGTCTCCCCACACCTCCTCACTCCTTCCTGTCAGACCATGAAACACCATTCGAGGAGCCCTCCTAGCCTGTGGCCCCTGTGCCCTTCGCAGCACCCCAAGAATCCCAACCAGCCCTCTGTTTCTGACAGAGTCACAGGCAATAGGTGTGGTTCTGTAACACAGACATCTATCTTAGAAGTGGGAATAACACATGATTATGAAGCAACATCACCCTGATCATATGTAATAATGTCTTTTCACATCAGTAATTTAATTTACTTCGTTTAGATACATTGTATATGAAGAAATGAAAAATAGAACTTTGTAATATTTTAATCAATGAAATAAATTCCCATATGAATTGGGTCAGGTTCTTTTCATTGTTAAGTTATATTTTTCTTAAGTACGCACATTTGTTTGTTTTCCTTAGATTTTATTTATTTATTTTTAGGGAGAGGAAGGGAGAAAGAGCAGGAGAGAAACATCAATGTGTGGTTGCCTTTCATACTCCCCCAACTGGGGACCTGGCCCGAAACCCAGGCATGTGCCCTGACTGGGAACTGAACCAGTGACCCTTTGGTTCCCAGGCTGGCACTCAGTCCACTGAGCCGCACCAACCAGGGCTCAAGTACATAAGTTCTAATGACTCTTTAAGGGTCATACAAGATGCTGGAATCTTTATAGATTCATAATATCTCATAAAACTAAGAATCCCTACAGAGGAAGTAAATGTATCCTAAGTCCTGCCTCCGGCTGCATCTCAGTGGGGCTCCCCAAGCTGTGCCAGAATGAGGGCCCACTTGGGGAGAGTCGCCTGGGTTTCTGCTCTGCACCTTGGCCTTCTCCGTGCCCCTTCCAGACCTTCCCTGGGCCACATGGCATCCACCTCCCTTCCTCTTCAGCTCCCATAACCTGGGGTCGTGCCTGTGTTACAGCATTCACCCTGGGCTGTGAGCTGGTAGCTTGCCCATCTCCTCTGCCAGCCTGTGCAGCCCTGGAGAGCAGGTCCACATCTCACCACACATTCATTCACCTGGATGCTGGAGAGGTGGGAGAGAAGTGCAGGAGCAAAGTCCCAGTAGGGGTGGCAGGATTGGATGCTGGGTCAGCCCTGGGAAGCAGTAGATCTGGTGTGGGGACAAGACAAGGGGACCTGCACCTCCTCAGAGGGCAGAGAACAAAGCTCAAAAAACTGATCAACAGGGTTTTGACGGCACCTGGCAGCGCGGCTGGGCAAAGGGTCCGAGGGGTGAATCCGTGACTCGAAGGGCAGTGGGTTCCCCAGCAGTGAACACAGGGCTGAGGGGGGGGGGGGGAGTGGGGGGCAGGGACAGAGTGGCTGAGCCTATGGTAAGGCCCCAATAAGGAGATTAGTTGTGCTGAGTCCCTTCTGCACCTCCGAGCTGGCAGCTCTAACTTCTCACCTTTCTGCTGATCGGTTCCAAGTGTTAACTCCCAGAAGGTATGTATGTGTTAAGGTAAACTAGACTGTTTCTTAAGAGCTCAGAAAAGTGTTCAGATATGCACATAGCAAGGTGCTAACAGTGGTCTTTCTGTGTGGTCGGAACATCCAAATGTCCTAATTTTTCTACAGTTCACATGCATTCCTTTTGAAATAGTACTATGTTTTGTTGTTAAAATATGTTCAGTATTGGCATCAGGGGAAGTTAATTGTCTTTAAAGCCATTTGATCAGTTTTAGAAATGGATCCAGGTAACACTCTACACGTCACCGTGAGCCTCAGAGAGCAGCGTGCAGCACTGAGGGGTCTTCGACACTGAACACTAGTCGTAGTAAGGCTGAGATGCATCCACACTGTCACAGGGATCAGTAGTCTACTCCTTCTTATTGTGTGAATGTGCCATAAATTATGTATCTTGTCTACTATTGAACATTTGGGTTTTCCAGCTCGAAGCTATTATTAATAAAGCACTATGGCATTCTTATTCTTTTTTTTTGTCTTGGTACCAATTTATACTCCCGACAGCAAGGAAGGAGGTCCAGTTCTCCACATCCTCGCCCACACTTCGGATTGTTGGTATCTTTAATTTCAGGAATACTAGTGGGTAAGTAGTGATGTCACAGTGTGATTTGAATTCACTTTTATTTGATGACTAATGATGTTGAGCTTTTTACAATATGTTTATTGACCATATGGATAGCTGTATTTGTGAAGTGTTCAAGTCTTTTAAGCACATTTAAGTAGTGATTTTTATTGAGATATAATGCACCTAACAAATAACTCACCATCTAATCCCAGAGCATTTCCATCGCCCCAAAAAGAAATCTCACACCCATTAAGCAGTCACTCCTCGCCCCCAACCCCACCCCCCCAGCAACCTCTAATCTACTTACTGTCTCTGCAGGTTTGCCGATCTTGGACATGTCATATGAAGGGAAACATAGTTTGTGGCCTTTTATGTCTGGCTTATTTAACTTAATGTTTTCAGGGTTTGCCCTTGTTACAGCACACATCAGAACTGTACTCTTCTTCATTGCCAGATCACATTCTACTGTATAGACACACCACATTTTGTTTATCCATCCATCGGCTGACAGACATTTGAACTGCTGCCGCGTTTGTTTAACTACAAACATGCACATACAAATTTTTATGTGAACATATGCTTTCAGTTGCCTTGGGTGTATACCTAGGAGTGGACTTACTGGTCCATACGGTGACACCTCTGTGCAACTCTCTGAGGAACTGCCGATTTTCCACAGCGGCCGCAACACTTTACATTCCCACCAGTGCAGTACGAGGGTTCTTATTCCCGTTTTTGATTTGGCTGATGAAGCATTCATTATTTTGAAAGTAAAAACTGGAGATACCCTATATGTCCAACAATAGGAGATCAGTTTAGTAATTGATGATACTCCATAGTATAGAATAATTATCAAGTTATTTCCAGAAAAACGGACAGATCTAACGTACTAACAGAACAAGTTAGGTGAAAAACAAGTAGCTGACAGCCCATCGCTGAGGCGTCAGAAAAGCCTGGAAGAATCGCACCAATCTAAAGGGGACTTTCACTTCTGACTTTATAACTTTGGCATTAACCCTTTTTCAAAATGTGGGCTTTGGGGTCATTTTAAAACTATATATTTAAGTGAAACATTTCCAAGAAATTTTGTGATTGGCAAAGGACAGGTTAGGGGAAGTTTTGAGAAGGTCTATGAACTCTTTCTACAGAGCAGCTTCACATCAAGACTTGTTAAAATGGGGCGTTTTTATCTTTTTCTTGTCCGAATGCTCATTGAAGCATTTGCTCTACCTGTGGAAAGTTCTCTCATCATAAAAAAGGTGATTGACAATGAGTACAATAGATCATAGTAAAATTAAATCTGCTCATGATATAAATACTAAGTGAAAAACATTTGGATATAAAAATATAAACAGTTTACATGAACAAGTTGTCCTAAAAATCTATGCTTGCATACACCAAAATGTGAAAAGATGTCTCTCTGGGCAGTGGGATTATGGGTGATTCTTTTCTTCCTTACACCTTTTTGATTTTTCCAAACTTTCTACAATAACCATGTATAACACTTATGGGTTTAAAATACTATCAACTTTCAAATTTGGTTCATAGCTTGCCCATGTTTAACCAACCAGATCCAAAATGTTAGTTGTGTGGTATGATTCAACTGATATGACTCAAAACTTGTGGTCTCCATTAAAATATGGTGTTTTCCAAGAATATGCCGTGACATGTGAAGGAAAAAACACAAGTAAAAAAACCCTAATGTCAAAACTTACATATGGCATCTAATTCTAATTTTTAAAAATGTATACACATGTTTATTAAGATATTAGAAGAAAACAAAATGCTAATAGAAGTCAATTATTTGTGAATATAGAGCATGTAGGTGATTAATTTTCCTTCTTTATGTTCTTGTTTCCGATTATTTATAATGAACATAGGCAGCTCTTATAATTTAAAAGAAAATTATAAAGTTTGGGAAGGACAACATTGTCTCCATCCAGATCTGGGACATCGACTGTTTCTTCTAGCTCCCTTCCAAAGCTCCTAGCCATCCTCCTTCTCCTTCTCCACTCGGTTCCCCTCGACCTTCGTCCCCACAGTTGCCGCTGTCCAGGCTTCATTCCCTCTTCCCTGGAACACGATCCAGTCTCCGGACCTGGCTGACACCCCTGCTGTGCCTTCTGTCTCTGACCTATTTGTGGAAGCACAAATGCTGGAATAATCCGCTTAGATGACGTTGCTCCCTTGCTGAAAAACCCATGGCTTACTTTCCTGGTGCTGTACTTGGAGTCCCCAGAATGACCTTGTGACTGGCCCCCTGGGCAGGCATGGGCAGTGGGGGGCGACATTACCGTGCCCCCGCCACAGGCCAGGCTCTGGTGGGCAGGCTGTTCGCATCCTTTAACTCACTAGAGACAAAGCAGAGCCACTTGGCAGCACGAGCTCGATGGTAAGGGCCGTGGATGCCCACTACCTACAGATATGGGCTCCACCGCTGACTTTGAACTCATTTCCTCCCTCAGCCTTTCCTCAGCTGTAACAACACAGAGGTCCTGCCTCCCTCCCAGGGTGGCTATGGGAGGTCAGGGCCAAGCACTCTGTGGTGGTTGGTAGCTGGTTCCCTTCTCGTCTCTCATCCTCAGGGACTATCCTCTACTCCTTTGTTACTTAGAGATCCCAAGAACTATGCCAGCCACCCCTTTGCTAGAGGAGCTCCTCTTTCTCTCTCCAGCCCCACGGTGACATTCTCCTCAGAGGTATCCCCACTACCATCTTCCCCACAAAGGCATCCCTTGCAAATTTGGCTCTGTTAAAGTGTTCAGGCCAGTGCCTCAAGATATGCAGACTCAGGGCATCATTTCTCTGAGCCCTGACATGGCCCGCTCTTTGGAACACCTGTTCAGTGGGGACAGCTACGATAAATGACTGCCCCCTCCCACTGTAACCTCCTGACCCTGCATCTCCGACAATGGCACCATGACCTCTCCGCCTCCCAAACAGAAACCTAGGAGACACCATAGACATCTCCCTCTCCTCATCCCCACACAGTGCCAAGTCCAGCTCCTTCTCCTTCCTAACTGTGGTCCACATCCATCCCACAGCATTGGTTTAGTTCAGGCCTTCATTGTCTCTTGCCTGAACTATGGCCATAGGCGCCTCTCTGCTTGGTCCACCACTGCAGTCTCCCCATCCCTCCTTTCTGCTGCTGCTGCTGCTGCTGCTATTATAGCCACTCACTGGGCAGCGAGACATCTCTGGAGGACTCACTATATTCTGGCACTCACTTGAGCTAAGTACTTCATGCACTGTTATTTAGAATTCCCCTGACAACCCTGTGAGGTAGATTCTAAGACCCTCATTTCAGAGATCAGCAAACAAAGATTGAGAGAGGGTGAGTAACTTGCCTAAGTAGGCAGGCCGGGATCCACTTAGCCAGAGCCAGCACATTTAGTCACCAGGTGGCTCTGCTTCAAGGTGGCCCTCCCTTCAGTGGCCTGGGCCTGTGGACTTCCAGGTGGACAGGCAGGGATCCTGGGTCGGTGGCTGTCACATGGTTAGTAAGAGGGATGCTGCATTCCTGGCAGGGAGCCAACCCCACATGTCCTCGGCCTCCTGGCATTGGTTGGGGTCAGGCTCTACCATTTTTGACTCTTGTTTTTACTCCAAAAGTTCACCCTAAAGGGAGCAGTTTTTTCTTTTTAAGTTTCAAATGATATTATTCATTACAATCATGCTTTCCATTTTGAAGACCCACAGAATTAACATTATGCTGCAGGCGCTGACCAGGTAGCTCAGTTGGTTAAAGCGTCATCCACATTTGCCAAGGTCGAGTGTTCTGTCCCCAGTCAGGGCACATACAGGAATCGACCAATGAATGCACAAATAATTAGAATGACAGATCTCAGTCTCTCTCCTTCCCTCCCACCCTCCCTTCCTGTCTCTCTAAAATCAATTTTAAGGAAATATTGTGCCACAAAAATCAATTATGTCCATGTCTGCAAGCTGCCAAAATAACCAGTTAAACAAATTCAGAAAACCTATTGCCTGATGCTTTAAATAAATGTCTTGCTGGTTAAATAAATGAGTTGGTGTTGACCCAGCCCGTTGTAATGAATCAGAGGTTACAGATTAACTGCAGATACTTTATCGCACATGCAGAGGTCTAAACAACTACCATGATAAAAGGAAGATGAGCTTTAAGAAAGCTTTTCCTGTTGGCTTTCTCACACACTTACATCCCTTTCTCTCTATCTCTCTTTCAGCTTCATCTTAGGTTAAAGATGTGTGATCAGACCTTTCTAGTTAATGTATTTGGCTCCTGCGACAAATGTTTCAAACAAAGGGCTCTGAGACCCGTGTTCAAGAAATCTCAACAGCTCAGCTACTGTTCAGCATGTGCAGAAATTGTGAGTGTAACTTTTTAAAAATTTAAGTAGTTACCGATCTTAAAACAATGTCTAACGTGAAAGCCCTATGACAGAGAAGTTGCCATAGAATCAGTGTACACACACAAAATGTTTTTGGCACAGCCAGGCTGTGTAAGGCAGTATAGCATGGGGGGTTAGGGGCTTAAGGTGTGGACTCTGGTCTCTGACTCCCTGGGTTCAAGTCCTAGATCTATTCTTTGGCACCACCTGTAAAAAAGGAACAATACCACCTATCTCATGGGTCTTCATGAGAATCAACTGAGTTTGCTTGATGAAGTGTTTAAAACAGTACCAAGTACAGGCAATGCCCAATAAATGTTATAGCTAGTATTATTTTCTTAGAGCTAATGCTTTTTTCTTTGTCTTCTATTAGTCTGCTTGGCAAGCAACCAAGCTAAATGGGACACTGGCAAATAAACAGCCTGGAAGCATCTTTGCAAAGGCCCTGTGCCAGTTGCCACTGGGAACAGTCCTTTTGAAGACTGAACCACACAGGGCCTCGGTAATGAGCAAAATTAAGCCCAAGGAAAAGTGTTCCTTGAATCTAAGCGTTCAGCAAAGGCTAGGGACTGAACACAAATCCTGGCATTTTTCAAGTACACAAATCAGTCCTCACTAGAGGTGGCTATGCACAGGTTTTATATCTGGATCTTTAATTATGAAAGATCTATATCCAGATCTTGCAGCAAAAAAATGTCCACAGCATAGCTGAAGCCCTAGGAATTTGTCCTATCTCAGAGGATTTGCGAAGCTCTGCTCAGTAATGTGGCTGAGCCCGGCCCCCACCTGGTCAAAAGTGGTAAAGCACTCTTTTCCAAGCCTAATAGAAAATCCTCTATTATTATTAGTGTTGTTGTTGTTGTTATTGTTATTATTTTAGATTTGATTTATTACTTTTAGAGAGATGGGAAAGGAAGAAGAAAGAGAGCAAAACATCAATGTGTAAGAGATACATCAATCAGTTGCACTCCCCCAAATGGGGACCTGGCCTGCAGCCCATGCATGGGCCCTGACTGGGAATTGAACTTGTGACCTTTTGGTTCACAGGCTGGCACTCAGTCCACTGAGCCACATCAGCCAGGGTGAAATCCTCAATTATTAACACATTTTTTAAAACCCTACATCAAAAAGAGGAAAGATGACTTTTACATTGTGCTTAACTCATGAGGAGAGGCAGTATTCATCCTCCTGGTTCTGCTGTAATCCCTGACAGCAATTAAAAAAAAAATTACCCCCATAAAGTGAATGGCAAAAAACAGCCCTGGGGAGACACAGACTTTGGTGCAGCTCAGTAACCCTGATTCAGAGGTCAGGTTCAGTGTGACGGGCTTCCACCCGCAGCATACTGTGTTCTAACCTTGGCTCTGTGAATCGTCAGACCCAGGCATGCATTTCTTAAAACATGCCTGCTTTCTGGTGGCTGCCCTACCACCCTGGAGCAGTGCTGTTTATTAATCTAGCTCTTCTGTTTTTTAAACAACTTCCTCTGTGGACAGAAGGAGCCCAGAATCCTAGATCTGTAGCATCATAGATTATTCCCAGGTCAGAGGCCCTGCCTGGAGATAGTCTTCAGGGGACAAGCCCGTGGGGGTTCCCAAATACTCAGACAGGTGCCTTTGTTTGGCTGATGGGACATCCAAATGACGAATCTTTCATCCAGGTGTTTGGGATTGTGTAGACAACAACCTCCAGTGGGCCCTTCTCATGTCTAGGGGCAACCCTGTGTCTCCCCCACTGCTGAAACCCAGCAGAACTCCATACTCCTCACTGGAAAAAAGGACTGAGCACCGTAGTACAGGACAGCACTTTTCCAGCTATTCAAAAGTTGCATGGCCTTATCTCTAAATGCTAGACTTTCCAGATATGCGGGTGTTTGGAATTTCTTTTACACACAGAACCTCCAGAGGAGGGCGCACACGAGCATGAAGCACCCGTCACCCCAGGTCTTCACAGGCCGGTAACCTCACACATCCCACAATGGTCCCGGAGGTGTCGGCCTGAGAAGGTGATGAGAGAACGCTGCTTTTCCCAGACCTGCTGAGATGACCCTTATGAGAAGTGTCCCCTCATTTACTTCATGTGAATTGCTTGTGTATCGGGCAGCCTTAATAATAACAAGCCCATGCTGTGTGCCACGCATTGCTCGGAATGCACTAGTCACTCCTGATGAGGAAGGTGCCATCCCCACTTACAGATGAGGAGCCTGAGACACAGAGAAGTGAAGTAAATCACCGAAGGCCACACCACACGGCCAGGCTTTGCCCCTCAGTGAGTCCGATCTATACAGAGCCTATGCTCTAAGCGTTTTGCTCTGCCAACTCTGAAACAGATCCATAAATAGTTGCATGTATCTAAAGCATTTGTATATTTTATATACTTGATTTATTTTATTTTCAAGTACATGTTTTATGTATTTATATGCTGTTTTCTACATCCATTTATAAACTAACATTAACTGAGCACCTAATATATTAATATGAATAATAATATTAGTATGGATTAGTTCCAATTTTTCTTAAAGAGGGCCCAGGATAGCAAGTCAAGGCTGCACTCCTCAGGAAAGGAGGGGGTACAAAGAGGGTGGGGTTAGGACCCAGATTCCCCTTGGTGATGTTTCACTTTAGAACTGGTAACTTTGATCTGCCTTTCCAGTCTTTACACAAACACACACATGCAAGCTCGTGGGGAGGGAAAGAGGAAGAAGCCACAGGTTGGGTCCTCCACATAGGAGTCCTGAAGCTTGTAACTGAATGGAGCCAGACCGACTGGGTCCAGATCTTGCCTTTGCCTCTTGTAAGTGTGAACCGAGCAAATCCTTTAACCTGTCTGTGCCTCAGTTGTCTCGTTTGTAAAATGGGAATGATGATAGCACCCATTCAGGGTGACTGTTGTGAGCTATTAATGCAAAGCGCTGGCACTACAGGGGACTGGAAAGAGGGATGCTTGTGTCCTTGAGAGAACTGTAGTGACCCTCCATTCTAAAGTGGAGGAAACTGCCTCAGAAGTGACTGGTCTGAGATCACTGGGCACCCACTCGAAAAGGCCGCGTCTGGGCCCCCGTGTGTTATGTCCCCACACTGCCCCCAGACTTAATTCGCGAGTGAAGAAAGGAAAAGCAAAACTAGGAGCGGGCGTGCTAAGACCCCAGAGCTTCTTGGAAGCCAGAACTCGTTTTTTGTGGGGTTTTTGTGTTTTTGTTTTTGTTTTGGGTTTTTTTTTGTGTGTGTTTTTGTTTTTGTTTTGGGGTTTTTTTGTGGTTTGGTTTTGTTTTGTTTTGTTTTTGTATATTTAAGTCAATAAATGAGGCAAGTTTCCTGTTCGTGGTCGGGGAAGTAACAGAGCAACTCGGAATTGGCCGGGTATCAGTGATGCGAGCCGGACCACGTTGCCCTGTCCTCTCGGGTTTCTGCCAGTAGAACCCTGAAGTCCCAGTGAAAGGATGTCCGTGTGGGAATGGAGGGATGCGGGAGAAGGAGGGCAGTGTCTGGGAGTTCACCATACTCCCAGGAGCCCGGCCGTCCTGACTTGGAATCCCAGCTTGGCCCTCAGTACAAGCTGATCCTCCACCAAATCCCGTGTCATCTCCGAGTCTCGGTTTTCTCGTCGGTAAAATGGGACCCACACTCCCTGCTTCCCACGGGCGGAAAACACAGCAGCGCTAAATGAGGCCCGGTTCCGAGTCTCTGAGCCAGGGCGCTCGCCGCAGGCGCGGGACAGCGGCTCCGAGGGGGCGCTGTGCCCGCGGGAGAGGCCGACGGGCCGCGGGGTCGGCGCCGCAGCCCGGCTCGCCGCTGCTGGCGTCAGCGCCGGAGGGCGGGGCCGCGCGCGGGGGAGACGGCGGCTGGAGCTGCGCCCGCGGCCGCTGGAGCCTCCTCCGGCAGCTCACCCTCGTCCCGGTTCTTCGCTTCCCTCCCTGCCTCTTCCCTCCCTGCCGCTTCCCCGCACGAAGATGGCCACGGACGGGCTGCATGAGAACGAGACGCTGGCGTCGCTGAAAAGCGAGGCCGAAAACCTCAAGGGCAAACTGGAGGAGGAGCGGGCCAAGCTGCACGACGTGGAGCGTGAGTGCGGGCCTGGCGGGGGCTGCGCGCTGGGAGGCGGGCCGCGGAAAGACGCTGGGTTCCCGGGAGGAGGGTGCCGGCGGCCTGGCCCCGGGGCGGGAGCGGCCTCGGTCGTCCGGGCGCCAGGTGAGGCGCGGGGAGTGGCCGCAAGCCCACGGGTACGCGGATGTCCGGCTGGAGCTGGGTGGCCCTTGGAGGTTCCCAACACTTTGCTCAAAGCCCCCGCCCGCCTCTGGGCCCAGGCGACTGGTGGTCGCCCTGACCGCTGGGCTCCCGACGAAGGATGGTGGGACCATTTACCATCGTCACCTGCCACGAACTGATCGCATTCCTGCCCTTCTCAGGAGGAGCGGGGTAGAGGGTGTTGTCAGTGGCGGCTAGCCCGGCGAGCTCGTGGGGGCGCTGCCTAGGGTAAACTCCTGTTTTGGTTTTTTAAGTACTTGGCCTGTTATGTCTTTTCTCAATTTTGCTCTTACACGGAACCAGACTTAGATTTAAAAGCTCGTTTTTCCAATTACCCCATCTCTTGGGGGTGGAGAGCAGGATGGGGGAAGGGAAGTAGAGGAGCTTATCAAATCCAACCGTTTAGCCCTTTTGAGCTGTTTAAACGGATGCGGTATGGTTGGCATGAAAGAGACTAGCAATCTTAACATTGTTGACCACTACCATAATTTAGAAATAACAGATCTGTGATTTTTTTTTTTTTTGAGTGGGCAATTAAGTAGCTAGGTGAAATGACTCTCGCCAGGACCAGCTTCCCTTTACTGCGTCGAATGGTTCCTCTTCAGCAGGCTTTGGGCCTAGCGCCAAGCTTGGGGAAGTGACTTTATCAGCTTACTTTTCAGCTCGGAGAGTGACAGCTCCTTTTTGCTGAGCAAGAAGTCCCTTTGGTGTCCCCAGGCACACACATACATTGTGCTTCTGCCATTCCTGTGGTGACGTCTCCTTTACATTCCATCTGGAAGAGAAAGGCTGGGCTTGTGCTAGGTCCTTTAGCACCTGATTCCTTTCTTTGAAAATTGCCTGATAGAAGCAGGTGGCCTGAATCTAGAGTGTGCTGTGCTTTTGTAGGGGCCTCCTTTCAACAGGAGTCTCCTAAGCCCCTGTATCATTTAGAAACATATCCAGCTACAATGAACTATAAACCCCTGGTAAAATAGTTAAGCAAGTTGGGAGTTAGTTTTCTTTGATAACAAAAATAAGGGTAGGCTGTCGCCAGCTTTGGTTCAGCTATCCAGTGTGCCACCAAGGATCCACGCTCCTGTTGTTCTCCCCACTGTGAGAGCACTGGCCTTGCCCCCCAACTGCAGTATCACTGCCACAGCTCCAAACATCACCCCTGGATCCTGGACAGGAGGAGAGGGGAGTGTGGTTACCAGCCTCTGTTTCTCCTTTTTACCAGAAGAGCAAAAGTTTTTCCTCAAATTTTCCTTCTTCCCAACAGATTGTTGGTTGCACTTCACTGGCCAGGTCACATAACCACTGCAAGGGAGGCTGGGAAAGGGAGAACTGAACTGGGCACATTTCCAACCTCAAACAGAGCTAGGTTTCCGTTACCAGGGGAGAAGTGAGGCATGGATATTGGGAGGCATGGGACGGAGTCTTGCCTATTTCCCTTAAGAAATTCCTGCACTCTGCAGATGACAGTGCTCTTGCTGTGAACGTGATACTATCTGAGGTAGGTCTGATTTCTCCATTTTACAGATGAGGAAACTGAGGCACAGAGAGGAGAAAGGACTTGTTGAAAGACCCCAGCTAAAAAGGGGTGGGGTCAGGACTCCAGTGCAGGCAGGCAGAGTTCCAGCCCAGTCTCACTTCAGTGTTTTTGCAGAACCTTGGTGTTCAGTGCAGAGGGGCTCTCCAGAAAACTCCCACCCACCAGTGCAGGCTGCCCACAGGGACTGTCAGCCTTTTCTGTGAGTGTGTAAGCTGCCTTAAGGCAGAGAGATTGTCAAGTCAAGATGCAGTCGTACCACAGGAAACCCCTCCCCTGCCAAGGATGCAGTGCCCTGAGAAGCCTGGACCAAATTTGGCGCTGTGGAGGAATCTGTCCTCACCTGTCTTTGTGTCAGAACGATAAGACCAGCGGTCATGGTCATATCTCCCTTTATGCCCCCGCAGCTGCCAGACCACTTCTCTCCTGTACAAAACCCTGGCTCCTCCAAGGCTCCTGCCATCCCACTGCCCGCCCTCCTCTCCTCCCCCACGCTGCTGTCTCCTGACTTCCCAGCCAGGCTCCCTCAGTTCTGAAGGACTTTAGCACATGGCTTGAGCCTTCCTTTTGACCCTAAGCTCTGCCCCTACCTGGTGTCTTCAGGGTTCGCAGGGTGACCCTCTTAACACGCTGTCCCCTCACTCCATCCCAGCCCCCCTGGGATCTTGTTGGCAATCAGAACTGCTCCTTCTCCTCTGCCCATGGGCTCTCCCCAGGGAGCTCACCGTGACAAAGGATCACTGGACTCTCTCTCTCTTCAGTCTCTCAGCCCTTTCTTGTACGTTTTTATATAGCTGTTGTATAGATGGCCCTGTGACCCTTATCCTAGCGGGGGAAACCTCTTGAGGCCGTAAACTTAAAGTGACCAGGTCATTCTGGTTGGCCTGGGACTCTCAGTTATAAAATGCAAAGTTTTAAGTCTCTGGAAACCCTGCAGTATGAGGCACACAAGGATGGCTGGTCAGCCTTCTGTTAGCTCTGACTTGCCCTAATTCTTGGCTTTAAAAAGTCAACACGAGCCGTGGCTGTGTTGCCACGAGTTGTGGCAGAGTGGATTGAGCGCTGAAAGGTCACTGGTTCGATTCCCAGTCAAGGCACATGCCTGGGTTGCAGGCCAGGTCCCCAGTTCAGGGTGTGCAAGAGGCAATAGATCAATATATCTCTTGCACATTGATGTTTCTTTCCCATTCCTTCTCCCTCCCTCCCTTTCTCTCTTAAAAAAAATCAACACAAAATTGTAGAACATAAACTTGGAGGAAAAGTGAACTTTTCCCAATTCCAGACTCTAGTATCTCCGTCCGTCATCCCTTGACCCTCCGACAGTGTCCATCTGTCAGGCCCTCATCTCCAGGTCAGACCCACAGCCAGCATCACACAGGAAGTGGCTTGTGTGCGGGTGTGAGGGGAAGCCAGCCCACATCAAACGCCACAGCCCGAGGCCCCATGCCCCTGTGCCTGCCTTTCCTGTTATTCCTCCAGAGCTCTCCTGCCCTGGATGTTTCTCCTTATCCCTTCTGCTTGCCTTCTACCATTGGTAAGTGCTCCCTCGCTTGAGTCTAAGGCATTTTAGATTCATGAGGAGGTTAGCACAGCTTGTATTAGTTTCCTGTTGCTACTGCACACATTTCCACAGAGTGGCTTAAAGCTGCATAAGTTCATTCTGTTGCAGATCTGGAGGGCAGAAGTCTGGCAGGGCTGCACGCCTTCCGGAGGCTCCAGGGGAGAATCCATCCCTTGTCTTTTCCAGCTTCTAGAGACCGTCTGCGTTTCCTGGCTTGTGGACCCACATCGCCCCAACCTCATTTCTGTCATCACATCTACTTTGACTCTGAGCCCACCTCCTATCAGGACCCTGTGGTTACATTTGGCCCATCTGCATAATCCAAGATAATTCTTCCATTGCAAGAGCCTCACTTTACTCATGTCTTCGAATTCCCTTTGGCCATGTAAGGTCACACATGCACAGGGCCCAGGGACTCAGATGCGGACCTCTTTGGAGGGCCTGTCACACAGCTCTTAGAACCGGAGGCATCCCCTGTTTCAGCCTTTCAGGCCCAGAAAGTTTCTTCTCCCAACCACCCGGTCCTTTTCTCTGTGAATGAGGCCGGAACCAGAGGATCTCCTGGAGATTCTGCCACTCCTCTAAGGGAGGACAGGGAGGAGGTGCCAGGGGTCAGGTTCCTCGTCCAGCTCTCCCTCTCACCATGCCAGGTTGAAATCTGAGATTTATATTAAAAAGGAAGGAAGTAAATTCATGTGTGTGTGTTAAAGAGAGAGCGAGAGGAAAGGTGTCAGTATTGGGGGTGGGAAGCAAAGTGCAGAACAGTATGTATAACATGCTCTCTTTAGCTTAATCAGTAGATGCTCACGTGTGCAGGAAGTCTGTGGCAGGGCATGTGAGAAACTCATCTCTAGGGAGGGGCCCGAGGAGTGGGGACATGGAGATACTTCTCACTTTATAAAATGATTTGATTTGATTTGATTTTAGAGAGAGGGGAAGGGAGGGAGAAAGAGAGGATGAGAAACATCAGATGTGTAAGAGATACATCAGCTGGTTGCCTCTCGCACACCCCCAGCTGGAGACCCAACCTGCAACCCAGGCATGTGCCCTGACTGGGAATAGAACCCATGACCTTTCGGTTCACAGGCCGGCGCTCAATCCACTGAGCCACACCAGCCAGGGCACTTCTCCCTTTAAACCCATCTATGAATTTACTGCTTTTACAATAAAAAGTGAGCACTGGGTTGGGAGTCGGGGTCAAGAACAGAAGGAGAGTATTCATGTATAAAGAGTCCTTAACCTGAAATTAAACTGACGAATGACCTAGAAGACAGGCTGGATGCACAGACAGGGTGGGATGGGTGCGGGTCTGTTTCAGTCCACTGGGTGGCAGCCCCTGAGGCCGTGTGGGGCATCACGCAGACCCCCTACTTCCCCTGGGGCTCGGACACCGTGTAGGAAGCAGCACAAAGGAGATTTATGCAATTTCTATAAGTACAAACCCAGAGGAAATTGGGACAAACCACAGAATTTACCATCAGGTGCGATTCACTGTTCTAACCGTAGCTTTATGAAAGGTTCTATTCTCAAAGGCTTGTTAACCTAAAAATAAAAAGGCCTTTCAAAGTGAGAGGCAACGAGCATTTATTTGACATCAATACGAACACCTACTCGGGAAGCACTGATTCAGGCAGCAGCCCAAATAACGTCCGGACTAGTAGGCAGAGGCGAGGGGTGTTTCTGAGAACGGGAAGGGGGACTGTGACGTCAGCAGGAGGAGGACGTTTTCATTGACGCAGATGATAGAACGCAGTGCTGTTCGTTCTAGACAGTGGTTTTAATTTTCAGTCCTGTTGTCAGCAGTCCAGTAGTCAAAGTAGCCGCTTGTGGTCTTTGCAAACAGTTCTTTGGGGCACAGTGTCGCTTTAGGCCCAGTCCAGAGGTCATTTGGCCCTGCTTTGACGTTCCGGAGATTTGGGACACAAGACGTGCAGAGCAGGTCCTCTGGGATGGCAGCTGCAGCCTGTTTTAAAGTGGCTCCATTTATTTGTTTGATGGTTGGTTGGTTGCTCGTTCAGTTTTCAGACAGACTCTATGGCTGGAGCTTTGGGTGATTCTGATTTTATGGTGTAGAGAGAAATCTAAGAAACCAAATTTCTGGATTAGTTTGAAGCAAATGTGTTGGTTCACTTTTTCCACGTTCTAAGGAGATGTGCTGCGTGTACTGAGTTCGTAGAAGTGAGTTTCCCTGCAGAGCCTTGCTCTTCCCAGCTGTTGCCTGCAGCCGTCCAAGGGGGCAGAAAGCAAACCGCCTTTCATTTCCTCTCCCTCCCTTTCGTTCTGCATTCCTGATGCACACGAGCCAGCCAGTGCAATGTCTCTAAAATACATGGTAGCAAGCGAATGCCCTGTAGCAAATTTAGAAATATGAAAGCAAGCCATCCATACCTGCACTGCCCAGGGGTAGACTCCTTTAATATTTTCATGTATTTCATAGCTTATGTTTTTATATTCGTGTATACATTTATCCACATGCTTTGGACTGTACTGGGGACAGAGTGGGAGCCCAGTTTTAATCGAACACGATGGATCGACGAGCCCCTGTGTCAGGTGCGGCTCTTCCTGACGTCAGCACTGACAAACGTTCAGATGCTGTTCTCCACAGTGTCCCGTCTTACCTGCTGCGCCAGAGCTTAACACTCCCAGCTTTTCATTAGGGAATTCAGGGTAGGCTTTGATTTTATTTTGTTTTGTTTTATTTTATTTCTTTTATTTGAGTGTGGCGAATGCATTGGGTTTAAGGGAATCCAAAAATCTGTGACAGACGTGGGGAGGTGACGGAATTGGAGATGTTTCCCTTCCATCCTGCAGCTGCAGGGTCTGTGTGCACCCCACCCCACCCCTGTCTACTTTGGGGGAGGATCAGAATGAGCTTTTAAAGATGAATTTTGAGTGATTTTTCCTTCCTTGATTCTTTTGAACTACCGAATAAGGACCATCCAAAGACTGGATATTGGTAGGAAATTTAAGAAGTGATTCCAGATCATTTTTATAATAGTTCTGTTTTCCTATTTCAGAGAGGTCATTTGTCTTTGGTCCATTCAGCATTTATGATGTGTTTCATAACGCTCGTTTTCAGGGGGATGTTCAAGCCCGTCCTGCCCAGACCGTCGTTTTCATGGCCTGTAGGATGGATGGGGGGGAAGGCCTGTTGTGTGTTTTCACCTGATGATGACGTACACGGCGTGAAATCTTGTGTGTTGACCTGCACACTACACATTGTACTTCAAAGTAGTGTGCGCACGGATTATAAAAGAAATAGTGAAACTACTCCCTGAAAGTTGAGAGGAGGCCCCACCTTGATGAAAGATTGATCTTTGCCTGAAACCGGAATTCTAGGCGATTTCTAAACTCTTCCACAGAGCAGGGCACAGGCCCAGAGGGGACACTGTTCACCACCAAATTGAGTCATGCTCTGCCCTCAGGCCTTGTTTCCCTTCTCTGAGACGTGCTTAGGCGGTGCAGCTCGCTTGCCCTCAGACTTGCTGTTTGGGACTTGGGGGCCAGTGGGCGAGAGGCACGCTGAGCAGAGAGCTGGGACAGAGCCCAGCATCCGCCGCCAACCATTCACCAGCTCGGCTCCACTCCATCTTCTTAATGGGCTTCTAGTAAGATTTTGTGTATGAGAGAGTAGGAGAGGACCGGGGCGGGGCCGGGGGTGGGGGCGACCTTCTACATCTCAAACTGGAAGTCTCTACCCCACCCGACTACCAGGCCCCCCGTATGGTGGGCTCAGCCCGCACCCGCACCCGTGGTCCCTGCCCCAGGGCGGTGCAAGCACTGCTTGTTGAGTCAGTCTCTCCTACCTGGAGCTTTCCGTCCCTCTCCTGGTCAGGTGGTGGCTGAGCCAGGAGCAGCGCCGGTTTCTTGACTCCTGGTTTAGAAACCCTAACTGACCCATCAAGAAGTGTGGGGGATCCAAGTTTGGGGTGTCTCAGGGACCGAGAAGCCATTGTCACCGCCTCATCGAATCCTTGATTGTCTAAAGAATTCCAGCTACCTGCCCAGAGCTTGCCCTCCTGTGGGGCGTTATCTGTTCTCAGGGGTCAGAGTGCATGTGCAATGGGTCTTAGCCTCTCCAAGCCTGTTTCCTCTTCTGTAGAAATGGGGGTGAAGCCTGTGTCCTCAGGCTGTGTGTAAACGTCTCAGCCCAGCACCAGTCACCCAGGAGACAGGCAGTCCATGGTGGGTAATGACAGCACCTGTGGAAAGCCTTTAAAAATGTGCTTTCCCTGTGACTCACTGATGCCACAGGGTGGAGTTTGTCTGAGGACCGAAGCAGGACAAGGGCACGCTGGCAGCCTGGAGCCCCGGGCCCGCCAGCAGGGAGTGTTTGGATTCCAGTACCTCCATGCAGTGGGTGTTGTACAGTTATTTACAATGACAGATAATCACAGTTGGCAGGGAAAGAGACCTACAAATGTATCAGATGAAAAAACAGGTCCCCCAAATTACATGTGGAGTGTTGTCTGCTTACACTTGTATGCACATGTACACATACGCAGAAAAATCTGGAAGCATACACCGTATCATGCTCTGTATAATGCACGCCCATGTATAATGTGCGCCCACATTTTTGGCCCAGACTTTCAGGGAAAAAATGTTTTGTTTAAACATTTAATTCAATTATTTATGTATTTATAGATTCTTAAGCTTTGCATTATAAAGGAATTTTAGCATTTATTTTTGAACATACTATGGTACATGAAATTCCATGTAACAATTACAAAACACAAGAACAGATACAAGGTATTTCAGGTACTACCCACATATAATGCACATCTTTACTTTTCCCTCAAAAATTTCAACAAAAAAGTGCACATTATATATGGCAAAATACAGTACATACAGCAAATGTTAAGAGTGGTTGGGCTAAGCAGAGTTGTAAGTGATCATATGTTTCTATTTTCTGATTATTTTTGTTGGGTGTGCACTTCTATAATTATATTTACATTAAAAGAAATCAAGAAAAAATCCTCTCCCGGTCCATTACCTCTTTCCACTGTCCCCTCCCCTTCTCCCATAAACACCTTCTTGTCCTGACTGTTCTTGCAAAAGCGCTCTCTCCTCCCTGTTACGTTCCTTCTGGTTTTCTAGTTCCTGGCCCCTAGCCCCCAAAGCGATATTTCTGATTCCTAGCCTGGCAGATAATCTGCTTTCCCAGGCAAGCCTCAGAACGCCCCCATGGATTAGGTCATTCTTTTCCATTTAACTGAAAAAAAATCTAAAAAAAACTACCAGTTACCAACTATCATAAAAACCAGCTTCAGGCAAGACTCATTAATGGATGTTAAAACCAGGGTGTTCAAATTTAAGGAGTAAGAGGGTGTTTATGTGGTTTCAGAGTACATCCCCACAAAATACGTTTTCATTACAACAGGCAAAATGGTAACTCTGTCGAGGAGAACCTGGCAGATACCACCTTAGCCAGGTGATGCCTGCAGGTGCCTCCTGGCAGGTCACACTGACAGGAACTCAGCATCGGCTGGCCGTGCTCCTGCCAGACATGTGCCCCCCAAACCTAACCCCGAGCAAGCGTCAGACAGGCCCAGACCGGGGCGAGGGGTAGCTGGAGACTGGAGACACATGGAGACTGAATGCCACGCAGGATCTGGGGGTTTCTTTTGCTATAATGACGTTGTTGGGACAGTAGAGAGTATCTCAGTGACATCTGTAGGTCAGACATAGTATTGTTTCAGTGTGAATTTTCTGACTGCAGTAATTATACTGTGGTTATGTAAGAGTTCCTTGTTTTTAGGAAATGCATGCTGGAATGTTTAAGGAAAGGGAGGCAGGGAGCAGGGAAGGGAAGCGGGAAGGAGGGGTTTCCCTAGAAGGGGTCGTGGGCACAGGGCTTTAACCGCAGAGTCTGTAGGTTTTCAGTAAACCCACAGGTGTGCTGCTTGGTGGTTCGCTCATTCATTCTTTTCTGCAGCATGTGAATGGGTCACCTTCTGTGTCCCAGACATACGGGGATCAGTTAGGGGTCGCAGTGCCTGCCCTAGAGCAGCATGCATGTACACTGTGGCACCTGCCAGGACAGTTTTTGCAGAGTCATTTGTCCTTGTGACTAGAAAGTGGTAGATAAAAGAACCAGAAACTCCAGCTTTGCTCCCGGTTAGTTGTATGAACTAGTATTAGCCAAAGAACCCCGGGAGCCTCCGTCTCCTCACCTAGGAAGTGGGATAGCACTCTCACTGCTGCCACGCTGTCCGCTGTGCAGAGCTGTGGCCCTTCGACCGGAGAATGCTATACGGTGCTTCACAAACACAGGGTAGTCTTGTCATTAGTCCCTCAACATGCGTATGTGGCAGTGGTTTGAAAAACACAGAAAGAATGACAGTGTGGTCTCTACCCTGCACTGAGCCTAAAAGAAAGAGCATTGTGAGGGCCTGATAGCAATCAGAGACCCAAGCTGCACTGCGGAGAAAGCCCAGGGTCCTCCCTGTGCCGACGTGTGGCCCAGAGCCCGGTCCCGGGTGACAAACTGACTGTGGCCCTGTCATTCTAGTGCACCAGGTGGCGGAGCGGGTGGAGGCCCTGGGGCAGTTTGTCATGAAGACCAGAAGGACCCTCAAAGGCCACGGGAACAAAGTTCTCTGCATGGACTGGTGCAAAGATAAGAGGAGGATGGTGAGCTCATCACAGGTACGTCGCACCTGTCGCGTGATGGCAAGCAGCTCTCTGGTTTCATGGCTAAGGGGACGGGAGCTGTCCTTTCCAAAGGCCCCTTTCCACTCTTTGCGACTCTGCTCGCCCTCCAGAGGACCTGAGTTCAGTGTGGCTAGGAATTCCCTTTCATACTGCAGGGCTCCGCTAGTTTGGGCGGGTTTGGAGTTGGTAATACTGAAACATTGTAAACTCTAATTGAAAAACCATTTAAAATTATTTTTCCTGAGCATATTTCATGCTCTTATTTGCGAGTGAAATCAACTTTAAAACAGTGGGGGTTTTTTTCCCCAAATTGAGGGCAGAAGTGGTTGAGAAGCCCCCACAGCTTCTTTCAGTTTATGGGTTTAGCAATTTTTAGGCCTTAAAGAACAAACTTAACATAAATATTTTGTGAAGTATAATTTTTCATTCATTTTACAGTCAGCGTAGTTTATATTACATCGTATGGGTTAGTTACTTATTGCTACATGACAAATTGCTCCCAAATTTGGCAACATAAAACAGTAGATACTTAGGATGCCGTGTGGTTTCTGAGAGTCAGGAGTCCTGAGCAGCCTCGCTGGGCGGTCCTGGCTCAGGGTCCCTCAAGAGGCTGCAGCCATCTGACAGCTCGACTCAGGCCCAAACGCACCCCTCCGAGGGCTCACCCAAACGGCTGGGGGGCGCAGCTCTGCGCCATGCAGAACTTTGCTCAGGGCTGCTCTGGACACGGTAGCTGCCTCCCCCAGAGCAGCTGATCCAAGAGAGGGAGATGGAGGCAGAAGCCATGCTCCTGTGGCCAGGACCCCTGTGACGTGGCCTCACAGGTGACGGTCCAACACTGCCACTGTATTCCGTTGGTCACATGACCAGCCCTGGTGTGATGAGGGTGGGGCCCATAGGAGGGTGTGAGGATCAGGAGACTGGGGTGCCTGGGGACGGACCCCCTGGAGCCCGGCAACCTCTGCTTAGTACTTGTTATGTGTGTTTTGATGTTACTGCATTGAGCACACAACCATAAACTGGAGTCACACGTTTTTGTAGCTGGTCTGTGCTTCCCTTCACCCCTGCCTTCGTCCCAGCTTTTTCAAAGGACAATTTGGGTTTTTTTTAATTACCTTTTAAATATAAAAACTGTACATATTCCAGATAATCTGCAGCTCTAGTATCTATGTTGGTGTTGTGTTTGATAGGACAAGTGTTATTAATATCCTGTATTAGCCACAAATCCAGAATGCCACGTAGCACTGGCTTTTTTTATGTTCATAAAACAGTTATCACTTCGGTATTTTACCACGTTAAAGAAACGCTGGCAAAGAGAGCACAGAAAAGGTTTTACTCCCACCACCCGTCACAGCCATTATTTTTATTTTAGAGCATGTCTTTCTAGACGGGTTTTTAAATGCTCATTTTTACAGAGTGGTTATTAAGATGTACACATTGCTGCCTAGCCTTATAGACATTTTTATCCTTAAAAGTACAATATATGTCGGATTTCTGTCACTCATGTGCACTCCAATTAGGGAGGGAGGGAGGGGAGGAGGACTGACAGGCTGCATCCATCCGTCTCTGCTGCAGAGGGTGGGCGGGGCGGGGCGGGGCGTGGGCGGAAGCCGGAGACAGCAGGGAGGCTCTGGCGCAGACTTGGAGTGACTCAGAGCAGCCCTTCTCCCTCAACAGGCGGGAGATTAATCCGCCTGACTATGGGTTAGGGTCAGGTGGAGGCACCGTCTCTCCGGTACCTGGGCTCCTCGAATGTAAACTGGACTCACGGAGGGGACCACGTTTAGTTTTATCAGACTGATTTTAACCTCTTGGGTGCCCTTTTCTCTCCTGGGCGCACAGTGGGTGGGCCGTGAGGACAGGCAGGCAGTGCTGTGGAGGACGCCACCCACATGGATGCTGAGGAGGCTGTGCGCTGAGTCAGCACGCCTGCCAGCCCAGCAGGCGGGGGCTCCAGGCCTGGAGGAGCCCACGGCCCAGGCCCGGAGCCTCTGCTGTTACCTCATCTGCCCCCGCCCCCATCATGCTTGGGAGTGTAGCAAGAGAAATTAGGCCAGAAGAACCAGTGTACTTAGGAGTCAGTCTTGAAAGGCCTGAAACTGTCGACTTTGACCTTGTTTTGGGGCCCCTCAGCCACACTCAGCGTGACTATGGAAGTCTCCCATCTGAGCATGCAAGGCAAGCGGCTGTGCCACTTCAGATCGTCAGACCTTGCTTGTGTCCCCAAGTGGCATTACCCGCCTCCCTGCACCTTTCCTCAATCACCTCAGTCACCAGACTTGGCTCCAGATGGCTTGAGTGATTTATGAAAAATCAGGCCCGCTCTAGAGGCTGCAGGTTCACCATCTCTGAGGGTTCCTGGGGGACCCATGTGCTGAAGGAAGTCAGTTCAGCCGTCCTCTGGCACTGTCACCCAGAGCCTGGGGCCCGGGGTCACCCCACACCACGTCTGCATGGGTGACTGTGTCACAGGGTCCAGGGCTCCTGGATGTATCCCCCGAGGGTTTGCACTACAACTAGATGACTGTGGGCTGCAGACTGTGGGTCACAGTGACGGTGGGCTTGCTGACCCCTCCTGAACAATCCGCTCTTTTCCCTTCAGGACGGAAAGGTGATCGTGTGGGATTCCTTCACAACTAACAAGGTAAGGTGTTGCCCCCAGCACCCCGAGACACCTCAGAACCCCAGCCTAGTTTAAAGGTGCTTGGGTCCAGCCCCCCAGGCCTGTCCTCATTTCCTCTCGGGGAGCCTGCCTGGAAATGAAAACCCCACAAAAGCCCATCTGTGTTAAGACAGCCCAGCAGCCCACAGAAGAGCGTGCAGAGCCACCACGGAACGTACTAAGACAGGAAAGGGCACAGCCTGGAGAACTGGTCCCGTTCACACAGGCAACTGCATGTATCCTTCCTCTGAGTGGTGATAAGAGGCACCCATATCCCCAGCTTTCTTTCCCCCCTGACTTTGCCCAGACTCCAGAGTGCTGTGGACATGAGCAGACGGTGGGTGAAGCTGAGGCTGCAGGGGGTTGACCTGCACTGTTGGGGGCGCTGTGGAGTCTGAGCCCCTTGCAGCTCTGGGCTGAGCGTGCATGGCTCCAAATTAGACCTAAATTTAGACTTTTTACCAAAGAGAAAAACTGAAATCTCTGTGTAGATGTGTTCATGCCTACATCATGTTGGCATTTACAATAATGGGTATTGTGTATTAAATACGGATTCCAATATTTACTTTGAAAGAATGTCCTCCTTTTCATGATATTAAAAAGGAGACTTGGCCCTGGCCACTGTGGCTCAGTTGGTTGGAGCATCGTCCTGTAACCGAAGGGTTGTCGGTTCAATCCCAGGTCCAGGTGTGAATGGGAGGCAACGAATTGATTTCTCTCTCTCACATCAATGCTTCTCTCTCTCCCTGTCTCCCTTCTCTCACTCTAAAAAGCAATGAGGAAATGTCCTTGGATGAGGATAAAATAAATAATAAACTAAATTAAATAAAAAGATCTGTATCTGTCACAAATTGAGCAGTGTCAGTATTCTGCATTACTGAATGTGTTGAGTAAATGTCATGGTAGGCAGCTGTGGCATGGCCTGATCAAGCGAGGACACAGAACCTCCTTGTAGGGAACAGGTCCCTAATGGTCAGGCCCCTGGGCAATGGTAGAAATGACAACTAAACTGTTTGCAAGGAGCTTTGTTACACATCACCTACCTCCCTGGAAGACTCTGCCTCTCCCAGCACTCCTAGGCAGTGTGAGGGGTTTTGTTGCTTCTGTTTATGCCTTAATGTGGCATAGAGCACACGCTGCATGATTTCCAGGGAGCTGTGGAGTCACCACAAGTGGCCCCTAGCAGGGAACATAGCTATTACTTGTAAGGAAAGGGGCCTGGATGCCCTGTGCTGAGGGAGTGGCCAGCCCACCTCATTTGCTGGAGGGCAGTAGGTGATTCTTGGCCTCGGAAAGATTCTGAGTGACAACGGAATTTTGACAGGCAGTTAAGGAGCTCACATTTCCCCACGAACACAGAGGACAGACTCACACCAGGAAGGACCAGCAGCACTTGAGTGTCCTGTGCAAATCTAGCCCTATTCCCTCCCTTTAGAGACGGAGAGTGAGACTGAGTGCGTATAATGGCTGGTTTGCGAGGGTTGCACTTCTTGTTGGTGTTGGACCCAAAGTATGGGATGGTGGCTTTGTTGTTTGCTTATCTGCACGCAGCAGGATGTGGGTGGCTCAACCACCACCCGGAAGCCGCGGACTGTTAGGCCTGGTTCTTTATGCTTCCATTTTACAGGCTCTCTCGCATCCCAGAGATCACCCTACCCATGCCTTCCCAGGAATGGTTTTAGGACCCATAGTGGACAGAGGCTCTGTACACTCACAAGTAAACAAACTTACAATATACCTGTACAGTGTCATTCAAGAATATATTTTGAAAATAGGGGGAATCAGAGTAGATAAGGCGATGTATATACATTGGAACTGAAATTTGGATGAACCTTTCAAAGAAAAGAAGCCCCAGTATTCATTCAGAAGAACAGGGGGCAGGGGAGGGAGTATAACATTAAGAAAAAAGTAAAACATTAAGGAATTTTTTTGCTAGTTGAGGTTTTTAACTTTTAGAATAAATGATAAAACATTTGGTTAACTGTATGTATGGGCCTGAGTGGGTCTTCTTGTCAGTCTGAAGCTAATTGTTACCCCACTCCACTGCCTTTGAAGCTGTGATGTGATTCAGTGAGATCGCCAGTGACTCTGTTTAAATCGCATGTTAAGATGTTTGTGCAAAAGCCGCCCTCGCTTACCCTGTGAACGGTTCGCCCTGTGTTTCAGGAGCACGCGGTCACCATGCCCTGCACGTGGGTGATGGCGTGTGCGTACGCCCCGTCGGGATGCGCCATCGCGTGTGGGTAAGCAGGGCCTATGGCAGCTTTTCAGATTCCCCTTTAGCCGCAAATACCGTTACATGGGCAAAAACACGCAAGCAAACAAGAACATGCGATTTTTTGTTGTTTGCTTGTTAAGCAGTATTACATTCCTCTCTGAACTTTGTTAAAGAAAAAAAGGGACAAAAATCACTTTCATAGTTATTTTCATTACCGACTGACAGTAGCATAAGCTTTAAACATATTCCCCTCACTCTCCAATGCTGGTGGTGAGGGCTATAAATTGGTGCAAACATTTTGGAAAGCATGTTGGTGATGTGTATCAGAAACTTTGAAAACTTGGTAACCTTCGATTTAGTGACTTCACGTCTAAGAACCGTGGAGTCGCAGCCAGCATCGCCCCCTCCCAGCCACAGTGCGTGACTCTGAGGAAGCGTGCACGTGCGCACTCTCTTGCGCTGTCTCAACACCTGATGCTTCTTTCTCTCCATGCTAGTGGCTTAGATAATAAGTGTTCCGTGTACCCTCTGACATTCGACAAAAATGAAAACATGGCCGCCAAGAAGAAGTCTGTTGCAATGCACACCAACTACCTGTCGGCCTGCAGCTTCACCAACTCCGACATGCAGGTACGCAAGGGGCCCTCCCGGGGGTCAGCCTGTCAGAGGGCAGGTTACGTGGCAGACAACTCGGGGAACAGAGGAAGCTTTTCCAGTGTTCCTTTTAACAGGAGGGGTGCTCAAGAGGAAGTTCCTATTGTTCCTCTTTGGGTAGTAGTAGTAGTAGTAGTAGTAGTAGTAGTAGCAGCAGTAGTAGCAGTAAAATCAGAAATGCGGGAAGTCAGGGCTCTTGGCTACAGATGGAGTTGAGATAAACTACGTTCCCTACTGAACATCTTCTCTAACTGACTTGTTGGGGGTGGGTCGGGGGGCCTGCTGGGGTGGCGGGCATTCCCCTCTCCCAGTCTGAGCTGTGGCTCCAGTGTACATACGTGTGTAGAACCTCACCGAGCCGCTGAGCTTCACAGTTGAGCACTTTACACACCTCTCTGAATCTCCTTGACGCTCCTGTTTTAACAGATGCAAAAAGAAGAAGCTTTAGAGAGTAAATCTGTGCCCCACTTTGAGTAAACCCCAAGTAAAAACAGTACTTTAACACCTGGACTACGTTTTCTTAATAAGTTGTGAAAGCATACCGTGGTTTATTTATCCACGTCTATTCAGCACACCTTCCTAGGTGTCCGCCACCCACGTTGCCAGATACTACTTGGCTCTGGGACTGGAAGCATACACAGTCTCTGCCCATGGGTACCTTCATGGAAACCAGCCGTGACTGCAGGGCAGGGAAGGCTGAGAGCTCGGAGCAGGAGGCGTGGTCACAAACTTGGTGGAGTGGTCTGGGCCGACCTCAGAGGGCACGGGTGTTGCCAGTGAGGTGTGAGAGGAGCACAGTGGGAAGCAGCCTGAGAAGGGGGTGCCCTGAATGCCCTGCAGACAGCGGGCAGCCATGCAAGGGCTGCTCATATTTGGGTTTGTTTTAAGGAGGAACTTCTCTGAGTCAGATTAAGTCCTTCCGTGGCCCACTCTGGCTTCAGCTGACTCGTGTCAGCAAGGGAGGCTGGTGGCAGGGAGACCAGGAAACTGGGTTGTTTTTAAATTGCTGACAAGGGGATTGTTCAGACTTGAAGTATAGTGTTGACACCTGGTCTTTGAGGCCAGGAGCCTTGCAGACCTGTACAGTAGGGGGCACTGTGGCCCCAGCTGGCTGCAGTGGCCAGAACCAGGTGCCTTTTAGCCTGAGGAGTAGCCAAAGCAAGAGAGGATGCTTAGTCTGGAAGAAGGAAGCCACCGAGGGCTGCAGGGACAGTGGGTGGTTGGGCATCTGGTGGAGACCCATCACCCTCTCTGTTGCCACCTGCTGGAGGTGGGCATTAAAGGGGTATCTGTAAGGTGGAAAGTGGGTTTTTCCTAACTTTCAGCTAAAAGGAGACAGCTGGAATGGAGGGAAGTCCCGCCGACTACACCGGCCCCCTCGGCAGGGCATAGGTCTCGGCTCAGGGTCAGACAGCTGGGACCGAATCTGGGCCCACCACATTCTAGCTGGTCCGTCCTAAGTGGGTTGTGTTCTGAGTTTTGTTTCTCTCACCTGTGAGTGAGGATGGTAATAAATTCCTCTGTAATACGGTTTTCTGGGAATTAAATCAGGTGACTCATGTAAATACTTAGTACATACAGTCCCTGATAAATTATCAGTAAGCATTGGCTCTTACTGTTTCATGATTAATATTCGCAGAAAGATTTAAGATGCACAGCCTGGCTTGGGCACTAATAACTAATGAACCCTGAGCTTCCTCGCACCTGTGGGAGGCGGGGTGAGAAAGAAAACCTCACGGCTGGTGTGAGACGGCGGCGGCGTTGCACCTGCACGTTCTTCACACTCCTGAGTAAACAAGGGACACCGAGTCAGAGGGTCTGTCAGTGCATTTCTGCTCATGAATGTTTGGTCTTTAAAGTTTATTTGTACTTACATTGTAATGAAGATCACAACAATATTGTTAAAATATTAAAGATTTACTTTTCACTTTTAAAAACTATTCATTAGTTCGCTTGATGAGTTAGTCTGTGGTAATCATTTAAAGCGTCCCAGAAAAGATCAGAGGTTGTTGACCCTTCGCCAGTGTCAGGGCAGGAATGGCGTGGGGCGGACACTAGTGGGCGTGGGCCTGCAGAGCCCGGAGGAACCCGCAGCACATTACATATACAAGTACCCAAATTAAGATGCCATTGAAGTCTTGTGTGTGCATGAGCTACTTTACCAGCCTTCCTTGCCCAGTCGGGTGCACACTTGAGGGAAGCCGACATTGCGAAGGCTTTGCAGCCTTAGGAATGCCCCAAACTTGAGAGCCACCCGCAGTGGGGACTCTGAGGAGGACCTTGGGGACTAGGCCCAAGAAGCCTGAGAGCTCCGGAACTCACCCAGCTCTTGCTCCAGGAAGAGGCTCCAAAGTGGCCTCAATCTTCACCAGCTGCGAAGAGGTCCTAGGCCTCTCCAGGCTTCCCAGCAAGTAACCCATGCCGAGACAGTGCAGCTGGCCGGCAGACGCAAGGCCAGTGGGGGAGCAGGGTCCCCGCTTTGTAATGTGTTCCCTCCCTGCAGAAGAAAGGAGAGTCTTTGTAAGTGCTAGGAGTGGCATGCAAGAGAGAAGGGGAGAGACTGGGCAGGAGGGAGAGGGATCGGGGGCGGGGAAGACCACCAGCCCATGAAAATTGGAGGTGCAGAGGTCAGCAGGTACATTGCATGCTAGCTGTCCTTAAGGCCTGATTCCTGTTTTCTTTCCTCAGCCCTCAGTAATTATCAGCCACTGAGGGCTGTCTGTTGTGGGCACTTAACATTGCAAGAGCCACTTCCTGCACTGTCTTACCACCTCATCCAGGCCCTGGGAGCAGCTGGAAGGTAGGGCACAGGGAGGTTCTGCTATGGCCTGTGGTTTCCTCCATGGCTTCTTGTGACCAAGCTGGCTCCAGGATGCTGCAGCGCAGGCAGCTGGGTGTCTGAGCCCATCAACCCTGGATCCCACTGTCTTCCCCCAACCCCATGGGGGTATGCCTAGCCAGAGGCCAGGCCTCACACACATGGGCTCGGTCCTGTGCCTGCCCCAGGCACCCCAGCATTCCTCTCCTGGTGTGGGCCGGTCTTTACTTGAAAGCTCTGCAAAGGCTGCCGAGGGATAGCTGCACTGACCTGACAGATTTTCTGAAAATATACCCTTGATCTTATCATTCTGCTGGGAAGCTTCCCATAGTTTCTTGTTGTCTGCAGGCCCTGGTCTTCACCCTGCACAGGCTCACCTTTCACTCAGTGCAGAGGCAGGCGGTCACTAGCAGGGCGCTCCCTCCTTCCCCCGACAGCTCTCGCCCACCCTCTGAGACCAGCTCAGATGTTGCCCAAGTGTGTCTGCTGCCCCTCCCCTGGGCCTGCCTGTATCTCAGCACTTCTCACACTCTGTCCTAGGTGTCATTGTCTTGTCTATAAGACCGTCAGAAAAACTTGCCATTCAACAATGCTTAGACCTACTGCAGTGAGGGAGAGAACCCCAACTTGAGAATCTCTAGTGTCCCAAAGTGGAGAAATCAGGGAAGGATACTTGGAGGGTTTTGGGGACTGGGCTGGGTGATTTTAAGGTGGATCTGTCACTGTGAGAAACTGGCTGATGACATAATAGCTTTGGATTGGTGAGCCCAGTGAGGCAAGGGTCTTAAAGCCAATCTTGATGAGCAAGCTGTTAGTCTTGATAAGTTGTCTAGCTGATTCACAGTCTCACTTTGCAGGAGCAGGTATCTCCTAGAGCAAGCCAATAGGTTGTTTTTACTTGGCTGCAGTATTGTTTAGCGTAGGACAAGCAAAGTGTGCCTGGTCCCAGAACTGATTAACACGGGAACATGGAAGTAGGTTGGTTTTAGGTTTTACTAACAATCCTGTTAAACTGAGTGAGCCCAGGAGAGTAGAGACCAAGGTCCAATCTTTCTGCCAATCATAATGCCCAGCAGAGGGCCTGGACGCCGTTGGCACACAGCAGGTGCTGCTGGCGCTGTGTGTATGCGTGCGTGCGTGAATGTCAGCGCATGTCTGTGGCCCTGGGGAGCCTCTGGGCAGCTCTCTGGTCTGGGGAGAAGCGGCAATAGGAGAACGTGGCCAACAAAATGCTGCCTCAGCCCTTGCTGTCCCACATGGGGTCCAGTGACCTGCATTGGAACCACCTGGGAGTTTGTGAGAACTGTAGAACCTCAGGACTCACCCCAACTCCTAATTAGCCAGCAGCCGGATGACAGGGGTGCTCGGTTAGTCTGAGAAGTGCTTCACACCTCTGGCCTGCACTGCAGTGGGCGAGGCTGCCAGTGGGAGCCAGTTGAGATTCTGTTCAGCAGAGGCTCCCAGGCACGTCCTGCATGCCAGGCAGGCGTGGTCCCGCAGGTGCAGCAGGGAGGCCTCGTGGATCTCAGATCCTGGAGGAGGACAGGGACGGAAACACAGCTGAGTGTCGGGGTATCCGACATAGACTTCTTGCTAAGTATGGGAGAAACGACTCCCAACAACTGCACCTGAACCCAGGTGTAGTGAGGTATGTGTCTGTGTGTTTAAGGAGCCTTCTTTTCCCTGATGGACTTGCCCCGACAGAGCTGAGATCCTGACAACAGTGCTCTTCCTGTCCTTTCTTGTGGCAGATCCTGACGGCAAGCGGCGATGGGACGTGTGCCCTGTGGGACGTGGAGAGCGGACAGCTGCTGCAGAGCTTCCACGGGCACGGGGCTGATGTGCTCTGCTTGGACCTGGCCCCCTCAGAAACGGGGAACACCTTCGTGTCTGGGGTAAAGACCTGAGGAAAATGTTGAGGGTCCTTTCTCCCCCAGGGGGCTTGTGGGGGCCATTCGTGGCACTTCCTGGGACTGGATGGGACGCGTCCCTCAAGAAGGGGTTGCAGGAGCGCCTCAGCTCCCTGCCACTCCCCAGCTCCCGCAGCCACGGCAGTGCTTTAAGGATGGTGACAGTGCTGGGCTGTGAGGGCCTCCCTTTCTGCCCCTGACCTTCAGTGGTCTACAGAGGGATTTGGAGTGTTTTCCTGGTGTGACTGCTGTTCTTCAGGGTACTACGTATCTGCCACATTTAAAAATGTCATTCCTCAAACAAATAGAGTTAGCGTTTGACGGCATTAGAGACAGCCACAAGGGCCCCCAGCTGGTCAGACCGCTGCTGAGGCAAGGCAGTGCTGTGTTCAGGGTCTTGGGGCTGGTTGGACACTCCTGCCCCACCCCTGCCAGTCACCATCCCTGTGCCACCCCAGGGCACAGAGAACAGGGTGTTGGAAAGCTCAGTGTTGGGCAGATAAGCCACAGTGACACAGGATCACCAGACTGAGAGTCCGGATATCTGACTCTAAATTTTGTCATCTGTAACCTGTGCATAATGCACAGCAGTACCTGCCTCCCCCTCCCCCAGGATATCAGGAACAGTAGGTGGGAGAGCTTAGACTGTGTTGTACAGATGGTAGGGGAAGCATTTTTGTGGGCAGCTGGGAATGAAAGTGGAGAACGAAGCTGGCTGACCTGACCCCGGTCAGTCAGGAGGGTGGTGAGGGAGGCCGGTCACGCACACAGCGTCAGACAGTGTCTGCAGCAGGAAGACAGAGGGGCCCTTTGCTCTGAGCAGTCCACGTCTCATTTCTGGGCGTCAGGCAAGGGCTGTCTGTCCTCTGAATAGCAGGGGCCGCAATTTTGTTCTGGGGTACTTGGCTGTATGTGTAAATGTTTCATTCCTGTGCTTTCGTGTAACTGTATTTATCTCCTGAGCTGCACTGTTCACTCACACAGTCAGTGTCATCATGGGTCACACTGTCTCATACAGAGCACTAACTCCATGTGATTTGGTGTCCTCTGAGGGTTAGAAGACACTCCTGGTTCCTTTGCCCACATTTGCAGTAAAGACGCTCGGAGCGCTGACCTTACAGCAGGTCTCTCTGAAATGTCAGTCGTGGCACCTCGTCGTCCCCCCCTTTCCTCTGAGATGCAGCCAACAGCTTGAGCACCAGTTTTAAGCCATGACTTCCATTTGACAAGTGAGAGTCCACATCATAGTCCCCAAGCATGACAACAGGACTGCTCTGCAGGAACTTACCAAAACGCTCCTAGAACCACGAGAGTATAACGTGAGGTTCTCATTTTCATGAATCTCTGGGTTTGTACAAGTCTTGGGCTGGAAGCCCAGGGAGGCGACTGCCCAGACAGCCAGCTAACTGCTGGCAGGCCTGTGCCAGGGCTCCTACTTAGCTGATTCTCCCCCGGGCATGCTGCTGAGCACAGATGGCCCTGGGGCACCCACAGCACCCCCTGTGCCCAGGGCCGCCCCAGACACCTGAGAAAAAGCTGGGAGGTCCCATCCAGCAGCCACTGTCTGCCTGCCCTGCCCTCTGGGCTTAGAGAAGCAAAGATGAAAAGGAAGGAGGAAGGAAAGGGGAAAATGAAGAGATGGCGATGCCCATGGGAAGGTAAGAAGTAGACTCCAGAGGGTTTGTAGCCCCTCAGAAAGCAGCTAAGTAAGAAAACACACTACCGGAGGCAGCGGGGTCCTCCCTCGTTCCCCTCCCACTCCAGCCTTCTGAGGGCTCAGCAGTCGAGGAAAGCGGCCTTAGGTAAAGCTAGTCTCCGAATAGCATGTTGTCAGCCCTTTACTAGTGGGACATAAACGGTCCGTGTCACATGACTGGAACTCACGCCTGTCTGTAGACAGTCCTTGCAGCACCCGTGACTCTGGGTAACTTTCCATTTGTAGGGATGTGACAAGAAAGCCATGGTGTGGGACATGCGCTCCGGCCAGTGCGTGCAGGCCTTTGAGACACATGAATCAGACATCAACAGTGTCCGGTGAGTGAGTAGGATGTTCTCATTGCTTCTCCGCTGTCCGCTGCCCCCGGGCCTGGAGTTGTCCTGAGCCCGGGGACCGGCTCCAGGCTCGGTTTACTTGGCGGAGCAAGGCCTCCCCAGCAAGAAGGTCTGATTTGCAGTGGGACCGGATGGCCCTCCAGATCTCTTGGAGAATGTTAATGTGGTGGTACTAGGGGCACAGATACCATCCTTCCTACTGAGTCAGTATTTCTCATTCATTCATTCAACTAATGTGTATCAAGTACTGATATGCTAGACATCATTCCAGGAACCGGGAATACAGTTGTGAACAAGATGACAAGGTCTCTGCTTTCCTGCAGGAGACGAGACAGCACACAAATAAACAAATGTACCATTAAATTTAAGACACTGGGAAGTGCTGTGGAAAACAGTAAAACAAGGACATGTAATGGGATGGGTCATTCCTTAGATCGGTCAGGGAAGGCCTCTCTGAGAAGACGATACTTAATTTGAGGCCAGGATGATATAGGAGCCAGGCTTGCTAAGAGCTGGGGAAGATGAGATGTTAAGTGACTCACAAAAGTCAAGATTATTGAGTCTGAGGGAGAGAGGTGGCTAATGTGAGCTATAAGGTCTGTCCAGGAAGTATCCAGCCATGTGTTATAAAAAAGAGACATTTATTGAAGAAAATACAAGATACAAGAAACAGTGTACAGAGAACAATGTCTCAGTCCCCTTTGAAGTAGACACCTTGGGACCTCACACAGTTCTCCCAGTGTCTCTTCCACTGTTCAAAACATCCTACAAAATCCTTTCTTGGAACTGCCATCAGTTGCCCAGTCACATTTTCCTGAATCTCATCAACGGACTGAAATCTCTTCCCTTTCTAAAGTGATTTTAGTTTTAGGAAAAGCCAGAAGTTTCAGGGTGCTATATCTGGGCTGTAGGAGGGCAGAGTCACCTGAGTGATTTGATGTTTCACCAAAAAACTCTGCACGAGACATGATACATGAGCGGGCATGTTGTCGTGATGGAGCTGCCAATCACTAGTTGCCCATAGCTACGGGCATTTTCATCATATTACATTTCTCAACTGGGAAGAACCTTGAGGTAGTGCTCCTTATTAATTGTTTGGCCTGGAGGGACATACTCGTGATAGGCCACACCTTTTTCAGGCATGGAGAACTTGGCAACTTCCATTGGGACGCCTGGACCTTTGTTTCCAGCTCATAGCCATAGACCCACAATTCATCTCCAGTTATGACCTTGAGGAAATCTGGTTCACTGGTAGCGGTTTGAATCAAGCCATTAGCAACTGCAGCGCGATATTCCTTTTGCTTTGGTAGCAGAAGCAGTGGAATGAATTTTGCCATGACACATTTCATGCCAAGATCTTCAATCAAAATCTCAGACAGTAGTTTTTGGAATCCCCAGATCAGCTTCTAGTTCTCGCACTGTCAGTTGCCGATCTTTGTTGATTGCAGCCTGAACACGTTCAACATTCTCAGGTGGTCTGCTTGTTGCAGGCCTTCCAGAATGTGGGTCACTTTTAACAAATTCTCAACCATCTTTGAATTGTTTGTACGACATTTTTATTGGTACTGCACTTAACTGCATCATTCATGAAAGCCTTCTGTATTATCCAAATAGTTTCTGCGGAGGAATGTTCAAGCTTAACACAAAATTGGATGCAGATTCGTTGCTCTACTTGCTCATTTTGAATGGGATGGCCACACAGTACACATGCTCACTCAATAGCATCTACCGCCCCCTCAATAAATAATACAATGAAGTCGTCATTGTTCATGGATACGCATTCCAGTCCACCCTCCTTGGCTGTCAGGTTATTGATGTGCACACTGTTATTGTTATATTAACAGTGGCTGAACTTTTTCCAGGTAGACCTTGTATGTTTCACCTGTAAAAGGTCACTCTGGCTGCTGTGTGGAGAAGAGGTTGCAGGGGAGCAAGAAGGGGAGCATGACAGCCGGGTAGAAGGTAGTTGCATGAGTTCAAGAAAGAAAGGATGGCGGCTGGAGCTAAAGGAGACATAGTAGAGGCAGAAATGTCTAGAATTGGGAATATTCTGAGATCTTACCCGTCCTGCAAGCTCCAAGTTAGGTTGCCGCAATCTCATGGATGCTGGTAGAAGACACGAGTCTCCTGGGTTAGAGATGAAGGATAGGTTACTACTCAGAGCGGTGGCACTAGGCAGAGTGTCAGCATTTTTGTGCCGGTTCCCTGAGCCCCAGTTCCATAGGGTGACACGAAAAAGGACAAACGACATGCAGGCTCTGTGAACTGGATCCCAAGACAGAGGCCAGGACTTAGAAATTTGGAAGACGGCACTGTCCAGACAGTACGTATATAACATATAATCACCCAAGCATCTTCATTATGCTTAGTGGGCAATACTAGACTTGTTCCCCTTAAAAATAAGAATGAAATAAGAAGACTTACTTACTTTAGTAGTAGAAATGTTAGAATTGTCCAGCTCCCTGCGCTCAAATAGGATATAAGGTAAAAGGAAAAAGACTATCACTTTTTGCAAATGTCCAACAATTACCCAGAAAATCAAGGGCAATTAATCCAGAATTTACACAGATAGTAAATGAAGTTACTAAGGTGCAAGATAGAATATCCACAAAACTAAGTCAAATCCTTATGTTTTCATGAAACACAGTTAAAAATGCACATTCTCTCCCCTCTGCTTTGCCTCTACCCTAGACCCTCTTCTTCTAACGGCTATCGTTCCATCCGGTCTCAGCGTAGGCTTCCTGCCCTCCAGGAAGCCCAATCATGGACGAGAGAATGACTGGGACGGAAATAATCATTGTTTGGTGAATGCTTTGTGTTTGGTACCATGCCCCATCCTTTGCATATACTGTCTTGTTTCATTTTGACACCAGGGAATGTGCATTGTCATCCTCACTTTTCAGGTGAGGACACCAAGGCTGGGCAAGGTGACGTCACTTACCACAAGTCCCCCATGTAGTGAGAGGTCAGTGCAGAGCTCTGCATGGGGCTCTGTGTCCTGACTGCAGTGTCTGTGTTTATAGCCACTTTCTCACCCCTGAGCTCAGAGCCAAGTCTTGGGACTGAGGTATGTGATGGAGGAAAACTACGGTACAGTGACCTGCCCTGTTCTCCATGGCTGGTGGAGATACCCGTATTATCTCATTTACTCCTCACCAACACTCTGCAGGGCCAGTGTCACTGTCCCCTATTTATAGAGGAGAAAACCAGAGGACTGTGGGTCTGCCAGAGGAGTTTCTCTTCCTGCCTCTGTGCCAAGTGGTCTTTCTGACACTAGAAGTGGAGATTCTGCTTCCGAGGGCCTGGCCCAGGCTCTGATGGGCATCCAGGAGTGGGAGCACCACTCTGAATAAAGTGCTTTCTCCCCAAACTTCCTCTCTTGCAGGTACTACCCAAGTGGAGATGCCTTTGCTTCAGGGTCCGATGACGCTACGGTATGTCTCTAAGTTACCAGGAGCTTTTCCCATTTGAAAGAGATGTGCTCACTTCAGTTTATTTTTTAAAATAACTTTTTTCAGATCGCAAAAATAATGTATATTCAATGAAGAAAATTTGGGGAAAGATTGAATTATCTTAATCTCCCTACCCAAGAAAGATCACAATTGCATGGATTCCTGTCCCTTTTCTTTTAAAAAAGTGCTTTGTAATTTTTGTTCACTTAGTAATAGATCGTGAACATTTTCCCATGCCAGTAAATGTTTTTCTACATTATATTTTCTTAATGATAGAGTAGTTTCCCACATTGTAGACATGCCATCATTTACTTTTACTCATCTCCAAGTTTTGGGCATTTAGGATGTCAAGATTTTGTGTTTTCTTTTTCTGTTAAAAAACACTGCTATACGTGAATATTTTTGGAACCTCTCATTGTTTACTTAGAATTCATTCTCAGACCTGAACTAGTTTTAAGGCTTTTGATACTAATTGAAAACTTTTGTTGACTGATTTTTTAAGAGAATAAAAAATACCTTCTTGTGCTCTGAAAATACCAAATATCTATTAAATAAAGTTTTCATGCTGATTTACTACTGTGGAAGAAATTGCAAAGGAATAGATTGTGAGTTTGATAATAGTGAAAATTTAAAACTTCTGTATGTCAGAAAATGTATAACAAAATATAGTGTATACATTTTGGAAAATCCTTGCTATGTGTATGACAGACCAAGTTGAAATCCTTAAGAATGAATGGTGTTGCATAATCAATAAGATAAATATTCCAATTTTTAAAAAAGGATATAATACAGACCACTTACAAAGCAGTACGTCCAAAATAGCAAATAAACTTAAAATGTTTTTAAAGTTATCTCTAATCCAAGAAATGCAAGTTTCAGTGGTCAGGTGCTCCGACGCTAGAGAAACGCTCAGTGGCTGAGACGACTCGGGGAAGGGCCTGGGATGAGCCTGAACCGGGGCCCGGGGTGCCAGCCTTCCAGAAAGCAGTTTTGTGGTGTGGCGTAAGAACGCTCGAAATATCTCCTCCCTTTTTGATCTAGACATGCTTTTCCTTGGAATTCTATTCTAGATTCTATTCCTTAGCTGTTGTAAGGAAAATATCAAGGATTTTTACATAAGAGTGGTCACCATGGTAGAGACAGACATGTCTAGAACTTTATTATTAAAAAAATTAGACACAAGCAAAACACTTAACAGAGGATGGCTAAATAGATTCTGCTTTATCTATATGAAGAATATTCAACAACCATGTTAATCTTGGGGGGGTAAGATTATTTAATAATATGAAAAAATTACACACATAAAAATAGAAGCAAGACTGAAGGACATAGATATTAGTAAATACCTCTAGGATTCGGGGTGGCTTTCATTTTCTTTTTTCTGCATTTATGAGTTTTTCTGAATTTTATACAATTAACATGTATCCTTCATCAGAAAAAAGAATGGGTTTCATTTTTGTTTTTGTACCTGAAGAAATCTTCTGTATTTGCTGTTTCTTTAAATCTCCACTGATCATGGAGATTAGTGGAAATTGGGATTGAGGGAGAAAATACCAGGAGAGAAAACCAAAGGGGTATTTCCCTAACCTCTCAAAGTGCACAAGCCGTTGGCGTTGGCTCCGGGTCTTCGCCTCACCGAACTGCAGCCAGAAGTGCGTGCTTCTTTGTGTTTGCTCCCCAGTGTCGCCTCTACGACCTCCGGGCAGACAGGGAGGTCGCCATCTATTCCAAAGAGAGTATCATATTTGGAGCATCCAGCGTGGACTTCTCCCTCAGTGGTAAGATTTTATTTCAGAAACTTTCCCAGGACTGTGAAACAGGACCTAAGTGAAACGCAGCTCCCTGTCAAGCGGCCCCTCAGGCAGAGTTCTGTATGCCCATCTGCTGAGTGGTCTGCTGTTGTGCCAGATGTCCCCTCCCCGGGGTTCTTGACCCCCGCTTCTCCCCGCCTTCAGCCCGTTCACTTCAGGGGAAATGAAGGCTGTGCCCGTTGATACTGTTCTCCCGGTATTCAGGGGTGGATTCACGCGCACGTGTGCAGTGCCTCCAGGCATTTCCTCCCCAGCCTTCCATTCTGCCCTTCATCCTCAGAAAGGACTTTTTTCAGAGGTGGAAGGAGGGAAGCCGTAGTCCCTTTCTCAGTGCCCTAAGCTCGTGGCACCTCCGCCCTCCCAGCTGCAGAGGCTGCTAGTGAACGTTAAGCAGCACTGGTATGCTGGGTCACTGGACCATTCAGTGTCCCCAGACACCCCCGCCTCTGCATCTGAGCCTGTGTGCGTGCACACTGCTACTCCTGCCTGAAACATCTTTTCTCCTTTCTTTGCTTGGCAAACTCCTATTCGGTCCTCAAGAACCAACTCAAATGTCGCTTCCTCTGCAATGCCCTCCTTGATCCTTCTTACCCTATGGTAGCACGTAGCACATAACTAAGCACTTCCATTATAGCCCTTACCACATGGTGCTACAATGATTTATGTGTCTACCTGCGACTGCCACCCTCCACAGTGGGGGACAACTGTGCTCTCTCCTCTCTGAATCCCCAGGGCAAAGCACAGTACTTGACACAGGGTGGGCACTAAGTCACTGGTTATTAAATGAATGAACAAACAAACAAACAGTGAATGAATGAACTAACGAACGAACGAACAAATGAGCAATCCAGCAGGTGAGAGTGACAAAAAGAAAAACGGGAAGGAAGGAAGTCGTTTAATAATCATCATATCCTGCTTCCAGGTCGCTTACTGTTTGCTGGATACAACGATTATACCATCAATGTCTGGGATGTTCTCAAGGGGTCTCGAGTCTCCATCCTGTTTGGACATGAAAACCGTGTCAGTACTCTCCGAGTTTCCCCTGATGGGACTGCTTTTTGCTCAGGGTCATGGGATCACACCCTACGGGTAAGAGAGGAGTTCTCCTGTTTTACTGTGTGTATGAGAAGAGGAGTGATTGGCCTTCCTGCAAACAGAAGTCAGGGAGCTAGGGCGGGCCCAGACAGCCACCTGGAGCTCTAATTTGAGCTCTGCTCACAGCCACAAAAGGAACAAGTGGCCTGGTAGGTAGTTCCCCATTCACTCAGGTGTTCAAGCACAGATTACACAACTATGTATCAGCTTATAGTTGAGGGAATAGTTGGGCTAGGTGATCCAAAAGGTTCCTTTTGACCCTAAAAGTCTGATTCTTCTGAGTCTAGCCTTTGACAAACCACAGGTTGCCAGTCTCGCCTCCCAGAAGTGCAGGGTCCTTCTGTGGTTGCAGACCCCTGTGGGGCCCACAGAACGGCTCCCGGAGGCCCCTAAAGTCCCTGAAATTATATGCCAGTTTGCATGTGTGCTTTTTTCTGGGAAGTGCCTCCTCATGGCCTTTTTTTTTTTTTTTTTAGATTCTCAAAAAGATCTGTGGCTTTGTTGGCTCCCCAGAAATACTACTAAAATCGCCTGTTTGTAAAGCAGAGCTTACCCCAATGTGGAAGACCATTAACTGGACAGTCTTAGTACTATCTTAGAAGGGAAGAGCAAAGGCAGATATTTGAGTTTCAGGGGTTTAAGGCAGATCTTTTGATGGAGGGACTTAACTAGGAGTAGACAAATGTGTGTGGCAGGAGAGTTTAAGATTGCTGGACACAGGCCGGGGCAGGGGGGTATTTTGAAGATGTTCTTGAAAAGTGAGTGGTCATTTGATGCTATGTATTTTTTCTGAGAAGTGGGTCTCCTCTAAAGAGGATACTTGAGTAGTCTATTTGTGGGATAAAAAGGTAAAATTATTTTTGCAAAATTCCTGAAACAAAGTTATTTGTGACTTCACTATCCTAGGCAGCAATTGCCTCAATTAGTAAAGTCGTGTTACTGCACCCAGAAAGCTGTGTGGGTACGGGTGGTTCGCTGTCAATCTAAGAGTTCCCCGTCGGCCCTAGTAGGAGGCCACAGATGCCCTTCAGACAGTTTACTAAGGGAGAGGGGGTATTAGGCCCAAACAGCGCTTTTGAGTTGTCAAGAGTAGAGCGTTATATTTTCCAAGACATGCACGTGCTGTATTTTGGATGGAGTGTGTGGGTGTGTAAAGAGACTGATTTTATCCTTTTAAACTCAGGTTTTACAAGTTGTTAACTACGAAGGGACTGACAGTTATCTGTCTGTGTCTTTGCAGGTCTGGGCTTGATCATCTCCTCACAATACACGCTTAGATACCTGAGGTTAGAATTTGAATCGTCACGTGTAAATAGAGCTGACTTTTGGAGGATGTGAGAGTGTATCGCCACCGCGCTCAAGGGAGCAGCTCCGTGGCCGGAAGTTCACCAGACACCTCCAGGATCACTGTTAGAACTGCCACCCCGGGAAACGCCGCTGTGAGCCTTCAGCCCTGGGAGAGCACCTTCAAGTACAGCGTTTTGGTTTGTTTTGTTTTCATTTTGAACACTTTTTAAAATTTATTCATTTTTAAGATTATTCTTAATTATACCACTCTCAACTGATTCTGTTACCAACAGAATTTAGCAGTTAACATATTTCAAGGTATTTCCTTGAATCAAACTTGTCTTCAGCGCACTTTCAAGACTGGTCTCCCTCGCTGTGCACTGCGGCCTCGGGAGCCTTCAGCCTTCCTCTGGGAGTGCCGAGGTTCGTGGGCGGGGTGAGGAGGACCGTGTCATCTGATCCGTTCCAGAAGGAAGTTCCATTTTATCCAAATGTAGTTAGACAAAACCCCTTTTTTAAACGTGTTTTATGGTAAAAGTATCGTTTCCATTCTACATCATACTGTCCTTTTCCAGATAAAGCGTTTTTGCCTGTGTGAACTGTTAGGCACAAAGCACAGACAGGCCTGAAACAGACGGGTGTTCGGTTTACGAATTACATGATGATTGACAGAAGTGTGGGCACTTGGCCGAGCACTTCCTTTCGAGGGAAGAGCTGATGCTGTTCCTGACACAAAGGCTCCTCAGAGCAACCAAAACCTTTCTGTGTGGGGAAGCTGGTTTAAAAACCTATCACCCATATTAGACACATTAGAATGAGCTAAAGTAGATTTCGTCCATGTCCATTGCACTCATTGCATTGAGGGTAATTGCATATACAAATTAATTGATAGGTTTCAAACAATGATGTCTTTGTCTTATATTGGAATAATAACAAAAGATAGCTTGTCTTTATTTGAAATCCAGCAATTCCTTCTAGAAGATACCAAGTGCTTTTGTTATAGGATCCACGCTTTTCCTTTTTTGTTGTTTTGTTTTTAAAGGTATAGAGGCTTATTCTTTGTTTTAGAAAATTCCTTACTCATAAAGATGGCATGCATTGAGGAAGAAAAAAGTCACCTCAGATACCCAAAATGATTCTTGGGTGAGGCGGCAGGTGGCCTAGGGTCTGCCGGGCCGGCCCTGTGGGGCCCGAGGGTTGGGTATGCGGAGTCCCCTGGCTCTCCGGTCTGCTCTCAGCCCTGCTCCAGCCTGACCCCTCCCTTAGGGCTAGTTCTGGCTGATGGGCCCAGCCCCAGTTCTGCTGCTCAGAGTCCCTTGCGGAGCCAGAGCCAGCACAGCCATTGGATAGGCCTGGACCTGGCATTCCTGAAGCCTCAGGGGGGTGCCAGGACAGTGCTCAAAACTACTTGGTTAGGTATCATAATGGACCAGTCAGTCAAAAATCAGCCAGGCTATCTTTTCCATCAGTTTTTTTAAAAATAAAGAAAATGGTTATATTCAGTGATTTGTGAGGGTTTTAGTACACAACAGCCCTGGTGGGAGAAAGCAATATAAAAGGCCCCTGTTTGCCTCTGAGGAGCCCAGAGGGAAGAAGAGAACATGGTCCAGAGGGACCGTTTCTCAGTCACGCCCCTTCCCCCACGGGATCCGTCTGGCTGGGGTTCAGGAAAGGCCTAAGCTCCTGGTCTCCTGTCATGGCCTCCCCTTCCCTCTCCCACAGACCCTTTCAGGCCTCTGCACTCTGACCTGGGCCTCCCAGAAGCAAAGGAAGGCAGGGCAAAGGGAAAGTCACCTAGAGGGAGGGACAGCAACTTCCAGCCGTATGTTTGCAGAGGTGGAGCGCGTCTTCAGTATATGCGCAAAAGAGGCCATAACTTTTCAGTTAAAAAAGCGACTTTAAGGGCCCTGTGAAAGTATTTTGTAGAATACTTACCCCACGAGCAGTAAGCCACCTCCCTTATAAGCATTCCATCTCACAGTGGGTGTTGCTTAGTATTTATTGATGAAAACTTGGTTGGAAATACACCATGTGGAGACTCAAAGGTAAACTCCAAGTAATAAATTGTATTTTGCTTATCGATAATAAGGCTGACTGGAGTTTTTCAAACAGTTTTTCCTTTTTTAAGAGGACTTGGAGGCAAACCTACCAAACTGATGGTGGTGAAGGGGACAAATGGGTGTGCCCACAGGTATGCACAGCCTCGGACACGCCTGGCAGAGTAGAGGGGGCTGGGTGGGAAGGGAGCCAGTCCGGGAAGGAGGTGGGTCCTGATGGGTGTTTACGGAAAATGCCTGCGAACGGAAATAAAGCTGCTCTGGGCAGGGCGGCCCGCCTCCCTGACCCCAGGTCCCGCTGCAGCCTGCTCTGGAATGAGCCAGAGTCCCTCGGAAGGCGCTCCACGTCCCACCCCTTGACCTCCTTCACACCCTTCCCTGGGTTGTAAGTAGCTTAATGGCAGCACAGGGTCATAAAGGCTTTGCATCCTGTAGTTGTTTGGCCAGCTGGCTAGGAGGTGGCAGCATTGACACTTTAGACTCATCTGTAAGTCAAGGGGGACAGCAGGGTGACAAAGGATGTGACCCTAGGTTCAGAGCCAGCTCTACCCCTTTTACAAGACATATGATAACATCCAAATTTCAGCCTCAGTTTTCTCATCGATGGAACGGTCCAGCACGAAGTACGTGAAGTAACTACCTCAGCCTTTGGCACATCTGTTTCCAACCTTCATGTCTGTCTACCCACCGTCCCCTCCCCTCCTCCCTTTCCCGTTACCTCCCCCTCCCTTCTCTCCCGCAGCCCCTCCCATTTCTTCCCTCCTCCTTTTGCCCCATCTGTCTCCTCTCTCTTTTCTTTCTCCCCCTTTTTCTCACCTCCCTTCCTCCCTGCTCGCCATTCTTTTCTCCCCCATGTCCTCCCTCTCCATAAGCAGCCCCCACTCATGTATCTAATTATCACCAGTTAGGAATCCATCTGGGCCAGTGGTTCTCAGAGTTTTGGGTCTTAAAATCCCTCTATACTTTCAAAACTTGAGGGCCCCAAAGACATTTTTGTTTATGTGAGTTATATTTATCAATATTTATCGTTAGTAGTTAGAACTGAGAATAATTATAAAGCACAAGAATACAGTCACCCCTTCCACTGGTGATACTTTCATCACACATCAGTAGCTTCTAGAAAGCTGAGAGAACAAGCATTTAAAAAGTCACACATACAGGAAAAAAAGTGATTATTATTATGGAAGTAATTTTGACCTTAGAGGACTCTTTGACAGGGTCTCAGAGACCCTGAGTGTGGGGACCACACTCTGAAAACAGCTGATCTGGGCTAATGAGCGAGACCTCCCTGAGGCCATTAAGGCCTTCATAGGAGCTTGGAAGGGGGGGAGGAAGAATGCAGGGTAATCAAGGAAGGAGTCTTGAGGAGGGACCCTCAGAGGATTCTTTGGGGTGGCCACAGGCCACATAAGAGATCCTGCAGGGGCACAGAGAGCCGATAGGAAAGTCTAGAGACCGACCGAGCCTGTGAACCCCTGGAAATCTTTTCCAAAGGAGGACCCTCGAGATGCAGGGGTAAGCCCAGCCGATGGGGCAGAACACAGGCGGCAAACAAGCCCGCAGGCCGAATCCAGCCCTCCACCTTGTGTTACCCGGCGGTGAGCTCCTCGCCCCTGGTTAGGGAGTTGTTACATTTATACAGGACTAAAATTACATTTGGCCCTTTGAAGGCAACTGTGAGGCTGATATGGCCCCCGGTGAAAATGAGTTTGACACCCCTGGATTAGAAGATTAACTGAGGTTGAGGTTGGAACCACAGCACTTCATATGGCTTTCCCCCAGGTCCAGGCGAGCTGACTGAGCAGGGGTTTGCAGATCTGCATTTCCCAACTGGCTGCTAGGTCTACAACAGGTTAAAAATACAGATCCATAAGCCTCCCTCCCCACCCCCCAGAGCTCGGGGCTAGGCAGGACTGAGGTGGGGCAACTGGAGGAAAGCTCTCAATGAATCTTACTTCTGTGGATACCTTGTGGGAACAGGAGTCTGAACCGTCTCAATTATGATAGGAGAGAATCAGGTTGTGTTTCAAGTCATAGCACAGACCCCCTCATTCTCCTAGAGAGGACCTGGCTGGAGCTAGGGTGGCCTTTGGAACTGGCCATTCTCCACAGTGAGCTGACTCTTGGCCATTTCTGCTTTTTTTTTTTTTAATTTTATTTATTTATTTTTAGAGGGGAAGGGAGGCAAAAAGGGAGAGAAACATCAATCGGTTGCCTCTTGCATGCCCCCAACTGGGGACCTGGCCCGCAACCCAGGCATGTGCCCTGACCAGGGATCAGACTTGCGACCCTTTGGTTCACAGGAGGGTGCTCAACCCACTGAGCCACAACCACCAGGGCTTGGCCATTTCTGATGAAAGAAATGAAATTAATATTTTTATGTCTTTGTAAAAAGGATGCAGATCCTCTGGTGAGGAGAAGGGATTGGGAATGGCGCTCTGGACTATTTAACCAGTAAATAAATATGAACAACTAAGTGTAGGTACGGTGTGAGCACTTGTGTAAAGACTGGCAACAGGAAATGCCTGTATTCAAACCCAACGTCATCTAACCAACACACCACTCAATGTTGTCATCCATCAGGAAACGAAGCAGAGGTCACTGTTTTCATCTGTGCCCCCCCCCACCGCCCACCTGTGACAGGTGGCCTCCTCCTCCTAGGTCTACACCCAAGAGAAACGAAAACTTACATCCACACAGAAACTGGAATGCAAGTATTCATAAACAGCCCAGGATGGAAGAACTCAAATGTTCAACAACCGGTGGAAGGCTGAACAAAAACATGGTGTTAATACATCCACACAAAGGGATGGTATTTGGCAATAAAAGGAGTGAAGTACAGGCACAGTCTACAACCGGATGAACCGTGAAAACATTGTGTTAAGTGAAAGAAGCCAGACACACAGGGGCACATATGGCATGATCCTGTGTGTGTGAAATGGAATGGGCAGATCCATAGAGGCGGCAGACAGACTGGTGGTTACTTAGGGCTGGGAGTGGGAGGAATGGAGAGGGACTCAAAGCTGTTAAAATATACATGGTAATATATATGCTATATAAGTCTGATATAAAAAATAGGCAGTCAGTCTCTAGCTCTTTTCAGTATTAAAAAAATAGCATATAGGTAAGGCTTACCAAATGTCACATTTTATTTTTTGGTTAAAAGTGGGTGAAGTGAGCATGGTGACCCTGGTTCGTACTACCAATAAACTCTTCTCAGTAAAGAGCATTTACTCTGTTCCAGGCATTGCGCTAAGCACTTCGCACACACCAGCTCGTGGAACCCTGTAGCAGCCCAAAGGTGCGGTTTTTTGCCCCCACCTATTAAGTGAGGAGATCGAGGCTGGGAGAGTGGAACAAGCCGCTCACCGTTGCAGCTTCTAAGTGGCAGCGCCAGGGTTTTAATCAAGTCTGTCCGCCAACTGCCTCCTCGCATCGTGTGCATCAGAAATTCTGTGTGGAGGTTAATCTCTTCATTTGTTTTGTTCAACTGATAATTTAGAGTCATCAACGGCAGGGCCAGAGGACTTGTCACTCACCCCCAAGCTACTCCTCTGTGCTTGCTGCTAAGATATAATTGGTATTTAACTCAATTGAAGAGGGAACCCATAGACATCAAAACCAGTTCAAGTGGGAATCTGATGTACAGAGATTCATTCCCTGCTGACCAGATTCATTTGGCTCACTGTAAAGGGATCACTGGCACTGGCAGACCAGCCTTTGCAGAGAGAATTCTGTTGCCACCACATCCTCTCCACCTACTGCCCTGGCCTCCTTATTCATGGTGTAAGCAAGCACTACAGTGGCTGGGTAAAGAAGCTCTCTGACATTCACAGAGCACAGAATTTTGTCCCCTCTGTAGTGGCTTACTGTGGGGCATGCAATGGGGCACAAATACTTCAGTCTGTGCCCACTCAGAGCGGTCCAGACACATACCTCTCTTTCTAAGATTTCCTGGTGACCACTCTTCCAATCTTGTTTCTTTCAAGGCCCTGGCAATCCAGCCAAATCATCGGTGACTGCCCATAAATCTATGTAGGTCTGCCTGTGCTCTGGCCATTTCGCACCCCAGACATAGTGGACCGTCCCATGTGGCTTGAATATCAGCCCAAAGGGTGGATTTTCCTTCACCACCCTGTCCATTCACAGTCACTCCTGAGTAGGGCTGTGATGTCACAGCTGTCCACTTTCATGTGGTACCAACATATCACATAGGCCCATCTGTAATCCAGGCTTGAGTTTCTTTCCCTCAGTCACCTGGCCAGAAGCAAATCCCTGGAAGCCATAGGTGTGGAGTGAGGGAAGAGGCAAAGCAACCTGCTTGTGCCGTTGATTGCACCCAGTGGACTTGCCCGAGTTCAGTCTCTTACACCGTCTCCACTTGATGAGAGATCACTGCTGTGCACACCCAACCCGACGACTAGGTGGGTCCGACAACATCCATATCACGATGGCAACTCAAGGTGCATAGTGACCTGATGCCCCTTGGCTAGGCATTCAGCCTCTACCAAGGCCCAGGAACAAGCCAGAACCTGCTTTTCAAAAGGAGAATATTTATCTGCAGAAGAAGACATAAATTTGCTTCTAAATCCTAAAGGTCTACACTGTAATTCTGCTATTGGTGTTTGCCAGAGGCTCCACACAGCATCCCTGTTTGACACAAGTGTCACTGGATGTGTTGGATCATAAGGCCCAAGTGGCAGAGCGGTTTATACCGCAGCCTGAATGTTCCACAGAGCCTTCCCTTGTTCTGCTCCCCAAACCACCTGCCTATAGATGGGTTGCATCACACACTCAGATGTAGTGTGTGTTGCCTCCGAAATCCAAACTGACCTACCAAGCATTATGCCTCTTTTTTTTTTTGTAGATGGTGCAAGATGAAGCAACTCCTCTTTTACCCTAGGTGAGACATGCTTGGACCACTGGACCCCTAGAAATTTCACTGCTGGTACCAATTCTGTATCAGGCTGTGTCCAATTAGGAGAAATAAGCCATAGAGTAATGTGAACAGACGAGGATTCAAATAAGAAGTACTAACTAAAGCAGGGGATTGGAGTAATGAAGGATTGGCCAGTAAAAAGTAAAGAGAACTCTAAACAGTGTGAGAATGGTAGCAATCCAGCAGCCATTAACCTAGAGTTGATATGCCCTCGGCTTCTCCTGTTATATTATGGCCATAATTAAACTCCACTGTGGTGGTCTGTGTCTTTGTCCCATCACTAGACTGTAGGGTCCTTGAAAGCAGGGACCACATGTCTTGTTCTTCGTTACATCTCCAGTGCTAGGAGCACCCCAGGGGCTCTGAATAAATATGAGTGAATGAATGCCGCCAATATATTGGCATTCGAGCAGCCCACAGAGAATTATCCTGCCACATATACCAGACCCAAAGAAAGGATCTTCCACACACAATTGCGAGTTACTGATCATCCTCGCACGTGAGCCGCCAATGAAGTCTGTGAGTGGCTTTTGTCAACCTCTCCTTAATAGAAGACAAATGTCTGGCCCAACTTTCCACACTGTCCCCTCCAGGTTCTTAGGCCCCAGGCGGAGAGCTAAACAATAACCCTAGAAGAGTCTCACTCTGCCCCTGATTGCTACGTGAACACCAGCACAAGGCTGAGCCTCGTTTTTGGCACCCGCACAGGTGCTGTTGGGATTCGCGTGAAAGGCTCCTCACCCGACCTGCAAAACTCTACTGCCCCGGCGGGGCGGGGCGGGGCCGGTAGCCCCTCCCCGGGGAGAGTTGCAGCCTGAAAAGCGGGCCCTAGCCAGGACCCCCGGCGGAGGCCGAGCTATGGGGGACGAGCTGAGGCAGCGCACTGAGCAGCTGCTGGCGGACTACCTGGAATACTGCGCCCGGGTGCCTGGCACCGCCGGGCGGCGGCCGTCCACGCCCGAGGCCGCCTTGCTGCGCTGCTTGGCCCTGCGGTTACGGCTACGTTACCACCTCAGTAGGTCCCGCTACCGCGGATATCAGGGAAACCGCCTGCAGGTGGTGGCGAATGTGGCACAGAAGATGGTCCGACAACGCGGATTCCCCAGCTGGGGCAAGGTGGTGGCGCTCGTGACTTTCGCGGGGATCCTGCTGGAGAGACCGCCGGCAAGGCACGCGTGGGAACTGAAGGAGTGGGAGGCAGACGTTGGCCGGGACTGCCGGAGGCTGGTGGCCTTTCTGTGCAATTGGCTCACCGTGGAGCACCGCGCCTGGCTGGAGGCACACGGCGGCTGGGTGAGTAGGGCGCGGGGCGCGAGACCCCGGGCGGGGCGGTCAGCTGGGACGTCCCCACACGGCTGGCACCCAGAGCGACCCAGTGGCGCCAGCTCCTTGGGGTCTTCGTTTCAGCAACACTGCGACGTTCGTTGTGAATTCCGGTTCTCCTCTCTTGAAGTCAGGCTGACAGAAACTACCCTATTTCTAGACGGCTCTCTTAATTCAGAAGCAGCTGCACACGACTTGGATTTGCCTACTTTGGCCTTGACCTTGCTCGCCCTCCGAGTTTTAGGATGCGCTCGCATTAGGTCTGGATACTTTGCTCATACAGAGATCCCCGAGCTGGTAAATCAGCAGTGGGTGGTCCAGGCCAGGTGGGTTCTTTCTCCTCTGTTAAGCGCACCTTTGGAGAGACTCATACTCATTGACCCCACAGCTCTGCCTGAAACGTGAAAATGAAAAGCCACCGCCTTCTCCCGCCCCCACACCTGTCAGGAAGAGTGGAGGCCACAGTGTTGTTGAGTGTGCGCCAACACCCAGTGGTGGTGCTGACTCAAGATTCCTTAACTTCTAATCCCCTGTGCCCAGCCCTCGGTTGGGAGATATCCAAGCGCCCTGGCTTTCAGCTGTATTCCATTTGGTCTCTGTGGTTTAGGCTAGAGGGGCAGGCGCTTGGCCTACAGCTCCTAAACCGAGCAAAGGGTCAGGTGAAGCCCCACCACCCTTCAATAAGAGGGTAGCGTGCCTCTCTGGGTTCTGAACTAGATCCTGTTTCCTTTCTTCCTAACTGGAGTTGAATCGATGACTGAAGTGACCCAGACTATACAACAAATACAGCCAAATTATTAAAAAGCCTACTGTTGGAAGTTTTGTGCTAGACCCGTGGTAATCAGTTGGGTTCCATTGGTAGAGAACAGGTAGTATCCAACCAGAACCTTGAGCTTGTATAAACAGTTTGTGGTGTGAAAATTAACGCTTGCATTTTTTGTGGTGTGTGTGTTAGTCTTCAACTATCCGTGCCTGTGAACGCTAAGAACTCCATCTGAACTATTTGTCCTCAAGCATTTGGCCCCTATGGGCCCTCTGCACTTACAAGAAATTGATTGGAGGGGGGGAAGGCAGGGGAGCATTGTTTTTTGTTCTTTTAGCTAATCAACATCAGCAAGGGACTAACCGTTTAACATGCTGAAGCCGCAATTCTCCAAGTGAGTAAACAGGACATGCCCACCATTCTCCCAGATGCACTTAAAATACTGGAATCTGGACTTCAGTTCCCTTCCTTTCCACTTTTCTGAATGGAGCTGCTTGCTGTATTGTCGCGGGTGATAACTTTCAACCTAGCGATTTCAGTTTCCCAAATGGCATCTCTCCTTTGCTCAGGAAAGAACATGATATACAAGCCTAACTCGGAAATCTTGTGGGATCGGTTCTGACCACCAAAGGAAAGTGAAGTAATACTTTTGCAGTGAAGGGTCTTGCCTTCAGTTTGTGCTTAAAAAAAATGAACAAAAAGGCAACACCTGTGAAGCTTAATGAAATGAGGTATGTCTGTAGTGGTCTCCCATCCTCTTGAGTTTTGAAAGGAGTCAAAGGAAGAGTGTCCCTTCTGTAAGTGACAAAGTGAAGTGCCTGTATGTTCTTTTCTGTGCCCCATATTGGACCACTTCTTACAAATCCCAACTCATCAAAAGTTCCTAATTGTAGGTTGCCTATTGGTATTTCCTTTTTTTACTTTTAAATCCAGGAGTCATCTCAAACCTCCTGTGTTTTTCATTGAGTTCAGATTTTGAACATTATGAAACAATCTAATTCTTTCCCTCCCCCTTGTAGGACGGCTTCTGTCGCTTCTTCGCATCCAGAATGATCTTTCCTTGGAATGCACTGCTGGTCCGGGTTCTTCTCTCATGCTTTATATCAACAATATTAAACTATATGTGGACAAAATTACTGTGAGTTCCCAAATTTTTAACCCACATGTACCTGCCTAATGGTGACCAGCCAAGTATATTGGGATGCTAAAGAACAGAACAGAGTAAAGACCCTTCTGGGACATTTTTACCTGCATTTCTATCAGGAGTCCTGTGGCGATGATTCAGCAAGCATTTTAACTCCTGAAAAAATTCAGAGGTGTTGGGACAGAGGCACTTGAGTGGCTCTTCTCTGCCTGGGGAAAATGGGAATCTAAAGGCTTACTGCTTCAAAGAATTGTAGAGTGCATTTCATTAAATGGGAAACCTGGTGCTACATGTAGATAAATATGAACAAGACACTCTCATCTATCCACAGTTTCAATGCTACTGCTGACTAACGTATCAAGGCAATGGGCCAGGGGTGAAATGGTATCAGAAGTACTCCGAGTACCAGTCTAACAAAGGACGTAACATTAATACCTTTTACAAGGAATTCTTACTAAAGCCTTTGAAACTGAATTCCTAGGACTTCTTGGGTTTCTAGATTTAATTAAGAATTTTTATTTTTTACTTCAATAAATTGGTAAATGTCTTCAATGTTTTAATAAATTTATGCATCTTTTAAAAAAATCTTAGTTGGTTTTCCTTGGGATTCAATAAGCTTTTATTCTTAGGAGTAACTTGATGACAATTTCCTTTTTTTTTTTTTTAAGATTTTATTTATTTATTTTTAGAGAGGGAAGGGAGGGAGAAAGAGAGAGAGAGAAACATCAATGTGCAGTTGCTGGGGGCCATGGCCTGCAACCCAGTCATGTGCCCTGACTGGGAATTGAACCTGCAATGCTTTGGTTCTCAGACCACACTCAATCCACTGAGCTACACCAGCCAGGGCGACAATTTCCTTTTTTATTGTCTCTTTAAATACAACATGTACAATTCTTTGTTTTTCAGTTACAGTTGACATATAATATTAGTTTCAGGCATACAACATAGTGATTAGACATTCACATAACTTAAGTGATCATCCCAGTAAGTCTAGTACCCATCTGACACCATACTCAATTATTACAGTATTATTAACTATATTCCCTATGCTGTACTTTACATCCCCATGACTATTTTTATAACTGGCAGTGTGCACTTATATTTTTATTTACTTGTTTTGTTGACACTATTACAGATGTTCTCCATGTCCTCCCAGTTTTGCCCCTCTCCACCAACACCCCAGCCCCCTCCCTGACCTTCGCCACACTGCTGTCTGTGGGCCGTGCTTGTATGTTCTTAAGCTGACCTCCTCCAGTGCCCGCCCCCCGCTCCCTGAGACCTGTCAGTCAGTTCCATGTATCCATGCCTCTGTTTCTGTTTTGTTCTTGAGTTTATTTTGTTCATTGGATTCCACATGTCAGTGAGATCATAGTTTATACTTCTTAATCCCTTCCCTTTTTCACCCATCCTCCTGCCCCGCTCTGATCTGGCAACCATCAGTTTCGTCTCTGTATCTGAGTTAGTTTTTCTTCTGTTTGTTCACTTATTTTTTTAAATTTTTCATTACAGTTTACATTCAAATTTTTTTTTTTAGTTTCAGGTGTACAACACAGTGGTTAGACAATCATATACTTTACAAAGTGTCACTTGTTTCTGAATTTATTGATGACAGCCATTCTGACAGGTGTGAGGTGATATCTCATTGTGGTTTTAATTTGTATTTCTCTGACTAGTGACATTGAGCATCTTTTCATATGTCTGTTGGCCATCTGTGTGTCCTCTTTGGAGAAATGTCTATTCATGTCCTGTGCCCATTTTTTAATTGGATTGTTTTTTTTTCTTCTTTGTGTTTGTGTCCAGTTATCTGAGGTGTCTGTAAATTTGGATATTAACCAATTATAGGATATATCATTGGAGAATATATTCTATTCAGAGGTTGTCTTTTCATTTGTTAATGGTTTCCTTTTCCATGCATAAACTTTTTAGTTTGATATAGTCCCATTTTCTTTTTTCTTTTGTTTCTCTTGCCTGAAGAGAGATACCAGAAAAAATATCGCCACAAGAAATGTCACAGATTTTACTGACTATCATGTTTATTTTTCCTACAAGTTTTATGGCTTTGAGTTTAACACTTATATCTTTAATCCTTATGGAGTTTATTCTTGTATATGGTATAAGAGGGTGGTCTAGTCTCATTTTCTTTGCATGTCTCTGTCCAATTAAAGATAGTAAAGACTATCTTTACCCCACTGTATGTTCTTACCTCCTTTGTCAAATATTAATTGACCATATAGATGTGAGTTTATTTCTGGGTTCTCTATTTTACTCCATTGGTCTATATGTCTGTTTTTATGCTGGTATCATACTGTTTTTGATTACTATATCTTTGTATTATAGTTTAACATCAGGTAGTGTGATACCTCCAACTTTTTCTCAGGACTGCTGTGACTATTTGGGATCTTTTGTGGTTCCATGTAAATTTTTGGAATATTTCTTCTAGCTCTCTGAAAAAAAGCCATTAGTGTTTTGTTAGGGATTGCATTGAATCCATAGATTGCTTAGAGTAGTTTGGGTATCTTAATGATGTAAATTATTCCTATCCATGAGCACAGTATATATATTACCATTCATTTGTATCTTCTTGAATTCCTTTCTTCAGTATCTTATAATTTCCAAGTACAGGTCTTTTATATTCTTGGTTAAATTTATTCCTAGGTATTTTTCTACACAATTGTAAATGGAACTGTTTTCTTAGTTACCCTTTCTGATAGTTCATTATTGGTGTATAAAAATGCAACTGATTTCTGGATAATTATTTGTATTCAGCTACATTACTGAATTGATTTATTCTACTAGTTTTTTTTTTTGGTGGAATCTTTAGGGTTCTCTATATACAGTATCATGTTGTCTGCAGATAATAGTTTTACTTTTTCCTTTCCAATTTGGATGCCTTTTATTTCTTCTTGTCTGATTGCTGTGGCTAGGACTTCTAGTACTGTGCTGAATAAGAGTGGTGAAAGCGGACATCTCCATCTTGTTCCCAGCCTTAAGGGAAACACTTTGTTTTTCCCTTTTGAGTATGATGTTAGCTGTGAATTTGTCAAAAATGGCCTTCATTATGTTCTCTCTATTACCACTTTGCTGAGAGTTTTTATCATAAATGGGTACTGGATTTTGTCAAATGTTTTTTCTGCAACTATTGATAAGGGTTTTTTTTTAATTTTTAGTTTTTCATTTATTTTTAGGCAGGGGGGAAGGGAGGGAAAAAGAGAGGCAGAGAAACATTAATGTGTGGTTGCTTCTAGTGCGCCCCCTACAGTAGACCTGTCTCACTATCCAGGCATATGTCCTGATTGGGAATCAAACCAACAACCCTTTGGTTCACAGGCTGGTGCTCAATCCACCGAGCCACACCAGCCATGGCTCCTATTGATATGATTTTTATCTGTCATTTTGTTTATGTGGTATATAACAGTTTATTTGTGGATATTGTACCAACTTTGCATCCCATGATAAATCCCACATGACCATGGCATATGATATTTTCAATGTGTTTCTGAATTCAGTTTGTTAATATTTTGTTAAGGATTTTTTAAATGATTTTATTTATTTTTAGAGAGAGGGGAAGAGGAGGGAGAAAGAGAGGGAGAGAGAGAGGGAGAGAAACATGCATGTGTGGTTGCCTCTCGCACACCTCCTACTGGGGACCTGGCCTGCAACTCAGGCATGTGCCCAGGGAATTGAACTGGCAACCAACCCTTTGGTTCACAGGCTAGCACTCAATCCACTGAGCCACACCAGCCATGGCTTGTTGAGGATTTTTGTATCTGTTAATCAGGGATATTGGCCTATAACTTTTTCTTCTTCATAGTGTCTTTATCTGGTTTTGGAATTAGGATAATGCTGGTGTCATAAAATGAGTTTGGGAGTCTTTCCTCCTCTTGAATTTTTTGGAATACTTTGAGGATAGGTGTTCTTTTTGAACATTTGGTAAAATTTACCTCTAAAGCCATCCAGTCCAGGACTTTTGTTTACTGGGAGTTTTTTCATTACTCTTTCGATTTTTGTTAGTTGTAATCAGTCTATTCAGATTTTGTTTCTTCCTGATTCAGTTTTGTTTCTTCCTGATTGTATGTTTCTAGTTTTTGTTCATTTATTTTAGATTATCCAATTTGTTGTCACATAGTTGTTTGTAATCTTACCCTTTGTATTTTTGTTTTGTATTTTTGTGATGTCAGTTGTTACTTCTCTTTCATTTATGATTTTATTTATTTGAGCCTCCCTCTTTTTTTAGACTTTTCTTCTAAAGATTTCATTTATTTTTAGAGAGAGGGGAAAAGAGGGAGAAAGAGAGGGAGAGAAACATCAATGTGTGGTTGCTTCTCACATGCCCCCCCACTCCACACTGGGGACCTGGCCTGCAACCCAGGCATGTGCCCTGACTGGAAATTGAACCCATGACCCTTTTGTTCACAGGCCAGTGCTCAATCCACTGAGCCACACCAGCCAGGGCTCTCTTTTTTTCTTCATGAGTCTGGTTAAAGGTTTGTCTGTCTTCTTTATCTTTTCAAAGAACCAGCTCTTGTTTTCATTAATCTTTTGTATTATTTTTTTAGACTCTATTTTATTTTCAGTCTGATCTTTATTATTTCCTTTCTTCTACTCTCTTTGGGCTTTGTTGCTCTTTTTCTAGTTCCTTAAAGTGTAAGTTCAGATTGTGTATTTGAGATTTTTGTTTCTTGAGGTAGGCCTATATTGCCTGTAGTCCCTCTTAGGACTGCTTTGGCTGCATTCCATAGACTTTGGGATCTTGTGTTTTCATTTTAATTTGTCTCAAGATATATTTTAATTTCTTCCTTGATCTCACTGGTAAGCCATTCATTGTTTAGTAGCATGTTATTTAGCCTCCATGAGTTTGTGTGTTTTTCAGTTTTTTTCTTGTCATTGCTTTTCAGTTTCACACCATTGTAGTCAGAGAAGATGCCTGTTATAATTCCAGTCTTCTTAAATTTATTGAGACTCATTTTGTGTCCTAACATGTGCTCTCTCCTGAAAAATGTTTCATGTGTACTTGAAAGGAATGTGTGTTCTGTTGCTTTGGAGTGAATTGCTCTGAAAATATCAACTAAATCCATCTGATCTAATGTGTCATTTAAGGCTTCTTTTTTCTTGTTTATTTTCTGCCCAGAAGATCTATTCATTGATGTCAATGGGATGTTAAAATCCCTTAGTGTGACTATATTACTGTTCATCTCTCCCTCTATGTCCATCAAGATTTGCTTTATGTATTTCAGTGCTCCTGTTTTGGGTGCATAAGTGTTTACAAGGGTTATCTCTCATTAGATCTGTTTATTGTTATGTAATGTCTGTCCTTGTCTCTTATTGTATAGCCTTTGTTTTAAGGTCTATTTCATCTAATAAGTATTGCTACCCCAGCTTTTGTTTTGTTTCATTTGCATGAAATATGTGTTTCCATCCCTTTATTTTTCGTCTGTATATGTCTTTCTGAGGTGGGCCACTTGCAGATGACATATATATGGGTCTAGTTTTCTTTTCCATTCAGCTACTCTGTCTTTTGATTGGAGCATTTAAGCTATTTACATT